CACTACCCTCTGCCGCTCTCACTACCACCACTACCACCATCCTCTGTCACTCACACTACTACCATCACTACCACCACTATCACCATCCTCTATCACTCTCAGCATCATCATTATCACCCCCTACCATAACCACCACCACCCCTAACCATAACCACCACCACCCCTAACCATAATCAAAGTTAGAGTAAATGAAGTTAACCTCATTGTAACTAACCTCCCCAGGTAGAGTTAAAGTGTTTAATTATCAGGTGAAATCAACTGAACTGGGGGGGGCAGGGGTTACTCTTCATGTGGACCGTGTTAAATTATTCGAAATACCCGCCCAAAAGTTTGTATGGTGTATTTGTACTTTATAAACCTAACAAATAGAGAAACTTATATTATTTCCAACATATTTTTACGAGTTGGTGGTTAAAACTCTCTCTTCTCAATTTACCACACTACAAAAGAGAACACTCAGTAGGGGGGAGTTTGAGCCAGGATACAGCTTGAGTGTGTTTGAGGACAAGGAATATCTTTTACGGGAACCTGCCTAAGGGCCTTTCCTCCCTGCCCTGTGTGTGTGTGTGTGTGGCTCTAGTGGCAGTGACACCATATCGTCCTGCCTCCCCCTGCCCTCCCTCCCTCCCTCCCCTCCTCCCCTCCCTCCCTCCCCTCCCTCCCCCTCCCCTCCCCTTTCTGTTTGACACACACCACCTACCACCCACACTTGATTGAATTGAAACAGTTTATTTAGCCAGAAAAACACAGATACAGAGTGGATAATAATAACAATATTAACATGGCTGAGCCAGTTGAGAACCTGAGCTCTCTCTTGGCACCCTGATATATACTATACAGTTATCTCAAGGAAGTATTATGTAACATTTAGTATCATCTGGAATAGTACACATAGCATAGTGGTAATAAGAACATATCAGTATGTTACCACGGTTATCATTTCATTTTTTTAACATTTATATTATAAGTATATACATAAGTTACAGTGGAATAGAACAACATGGGGTGTACAGTATTAAGGTTGAGCAAGAGGACAGCTGTCAGGATTATGTCTCGTTGGCAAATATATTCATTGCAATGATAATTTCTTATTTATCTACCTGGTAATTTCTGATAATTGTACTGTTCTAGTTCTTGTCTGACAACAGTTGAATTTTCTCATCACTTTTAGACTAGAACAAATATGATTAAAGACAATTAAGAAATAAAAAAAGTGTTGAAGTTTTTCAACATTTGATAATAATAAAATCACTTAAATTAGACAGTTTTGACTTAACCTTATTTATTATAACAACTAGAGTTACTGCTCTTAATTTAGTAACACAATATAGTTAAAATATCTACCTCTTTATTTTGTAAATATAAAGTAATTTAATTAATGAGAAATTCAGGAACTTACTTCAGCCAATCCACATCATACCACACGTTAAAATAGACGCATTTTGTTGATATGCAAGAGCCCGAGTGAGGGCCGAGAGGCGAGGGAACGAACTTAGACAATTTTGGGCTTTCGGGAACGTTTTTGAACGCGTATAAAATAAAGCCGTTTTCCATTGAGTAACGTGTCCTTAAAAAAAAGGAGCACGGTTTTCTTGGTTTAAAACCCTTACAAAACATAGTTAACGAACAAAATGGGATAAATATTTTTTCACCAATTTTATACGGCGGTTTTACACCAGCCTATTAGGTTTTATCGCAAATATGATCTGGTCACTACAAGGCACAATACTTGGAGAAGAAAAGCCTGTGGTGCCCCCTTCTTTTGGTGCCCTAGACACGTGCTTATTTTGCTTAATGGTTAATCCAGCCCTGCACTTTTTGACAAGTCTTACTAACAATAAGAACAGTTGAAGCTTTCAACATCACGCACAGTGGATTTTGAATGTTCCAACTGTAATCAGACATATCTAAGTTGCCTCAACAATTGCAACCACAGTTGCAATTTCAAATTCTGTCATTAATAAGGAATAATGAAGTCTCGGATGCACTCTAAGATTGAGAAAACAGAGAACTCAGGCGTCCTGAAGCGATGAGTAAACGGACTCCTCAGATGGGGGACTCAAATAAAGAAAGCATACATGTTTTGTGGGCTATTGAGCGTAATATGAATATAATTTTACGTTAACTGACGTGTACGATCGTGGTCATTACACAGGCACCAGTCTGGTGGCCCTCCTTTGAACATTTTCAACCAACTGACAGTCCCTAGCATATCTCGGGAACCAGACAGGGTGACAGTACTCCAGATGGGGAAGCACTTCACTCTTGAAGATCGTTACGAAGGACGGACCGTCTTGATATCTGAAAGACCTTCTTATAAGACCCAATAATTTATTTGCCTCATTTACCTTCTTCTCGCAATGGTCCGAGAACTTCAGCTCATTGTTAACATACATACCTAGGTCCTTCTCACATTCAGCCTCAAATAGAGCAGTTTCTTCATCCCGTTGGGACATATGATACGCTTCCTTACCGTTGGTACGCCCCAGGTGCATCCGCTTTCACTTCGTGACATTGAATCTCAGCAGCCATTTCCTCGACCATTCTTGGAGCTCACAGAGATCCTTCTGCAGTTCTTCACAGTCCGCATGGTTCTTGATTTCCCGAAATAACTTGGCGTCTATGAATGAGTGTACAACGTCAGACATGTCATTTATGAAACAAACAAACAACAGCGGGCCCAATACACTGCCCCGTGGTACCCCGCTTGTGACAGGTACAGATGATGATTTCTGCCATTAATCACCACACACTGCTTGGACATTTCCCCGAATCCCGTACCCTTCCAGTTTGATTTTCAACCTTTCGTGGGGTACACTGTTGAAAGCCTTGGCAAAATCTAGGTATATATTGTCGATATTACCACCCCGTTCCATAATATGGGTACAAATATTCCAATACCTTGAGCAATGGTACAGGAGAGCCCCAGCATAAAACCGTGTTGGCAATCCTTTACAAGGTTGTTTCGTAGTAGATGTTCATTCGTGGCATCTCTGATAATACTCTCAAGTACTTTACATATTATGCTGGTCAGGCTCACCGAAATTATTCGTCTTTCCGGTAACAAAAACAAACCAAATTTGTCATAACGAAGCCAAAACCACCTCGATTGTTTTTTTTTATTAGTTTGAGCAAGGCTCGTCTGTTGAAAAATAAAAAGACGTAAGGTGAATACTAGTAGTTAAGCAGTTCCGTTAGTTATATTGATCAGGCTGTCTTCTTTACGCGATATACTCTTATCCTCTTCGCCACTGATCGGCTCGCTAGCCGCCCGGGCGATCGGTCACGTCTCTGTCACGCACTGTTGGCAAATACTGGGCATGCACCGGCTCCTGAATGTACCTGAACCCGCTCCAGTGTTGGTCAAGTCTTGTCTTGAAAGAGCTCACACTCGGTGCCGTCACAACACTCTCTGGTGATTGTTCCAAGGTTTACAACCCTCCTCCAAAAAGTTTCCTCACGGTTTCTGGACTTGCCTTCTTCAATCTTGAGCTGTGACCCCTTGTGGGGGCGAGCGTCCGCCAGCTCCAAGTAAGGACACTCAACTGAGTAGTGCCCCCTGAGACGCTTATACACCTCAACTAGGTCCCCCCTTGCCCGTCTGTAGTATAAGCTAGGCAAGTTCAGGCGCTCCAATCTCTCAGGGTAGCTGAGGTGCCGAAGTGCAGGCACCAGTGTGGTGGCTCTCCTTATGTTGAATTGAATTGAATTGAATTGAAACAGTTTATTTAGCCAGAAAAATACAGCTACAGAGTGGATAATAATAACAATATTAACATGGCTGAGCCAGTTGAGAACCTGAGCTCTCTTTTAGGCACCTGTGATGACATTAAAAATATGTTGTGATTCTGTCTTTTCAACGCCGCACGAAGAATAAATCGGAACTGAAATCAATCTCCCAACTTGGCTTGTTTGAGAAAAAAATATTAATTTAAAGGACTGGTTGAATAATCTAGTGCAGTACAACAACGCATAGAAATAGCGGTGCCAGCAGTCAGCTGATGTCGTCTGGCAAGGAGCCAGGCTGTGTGTCTCTAAGAAAGATTCCCCTTAAATGTAGAACTGTTTTATTTTCTATAATTTATCCATAACTTAGGTAAGAAATAAATGTTATATCAATAAATAAATAACATTACTAACCGGAAATTTACCTAAACTATTTTAATTCGTAAATATCAATAAATACTTCAAACAAGGTGAATATGGAAACTAACATCACTCCCTCTCTCACAGCCAGCGGTCTAACAAAGTTAGTACTGTTCTGATAGTGTTAGGTGTTGCTCCACAGCCGTTATTTACGTTAATTGTGGAATCTACTCACCCCGTTCGTCATATTAAAGATTGCAGTACCCAGGAAATACAGGTATAGTAATGTGAATCGTATAAGTGTTTTAAAGTTGTTACTCTTAAGTGATATTGAAAGGAAACCAAATAAGGTTTTGGTTTCTCTTACAATCCACGATAGAGGACAATCCCCGAATACCTAATTGTTAGTCTACGAGCTACCTCATCCTGCAGGAGACATGCATGAGAACCAAAGAGGTATATGTCTCGTCAATGAGTGTAGGTCAACAGTAACAAAAGAGTATAATCTTATACTGTTAGAATAAGTAAAACCTCGTCTTGTTTATAGTTACTTTTAACAAAATACGTGTATTGTTGTGAATGTATGTATGGTGGTCTCGTTTCTTGTGTAACCACACATCAGTACGTAACAAAAGGTCATTAATAAGACAGCTAAAGTGAGAATGGGTGGGATACTGTAAATGAATGACCTTGTTTTAAAGGGACAGGACTAGATCATGTTGGTAAGCGTTAAGGGATGTACGCTAGTTTCATAAATATTTTAAGAAAGAAGTAATATCGCAATTTATTTAGCGTTATTGTTGCTTTTCTGGATTTAATGATATGTGTTAAGGATTTGTAAAAGAAGTTTTGTTCAATTGAAATAAGCAACTAAAACTTGTTGAAAGGAATCGAACAAGTGTGTCGTATGAACATTTTGGCCCGTTGGTAAGGCTGAAGGCTGTGCTGGCAGCACACTCAGGGATTCGTTTATGTAGGCAATCGTAAACCACCCGGGGAGAGAATTTTCAAGGGGGGCGTGAATGATTGATCAAAAGTAATGTAGTTATTTGAATATTCGTCTCGACATTCAGTTATCTGTTTTTCAATATATATATATATATATATATATATATATATATATATATATATATATATATTGGATGATTATCAGGGGTTAAGAAGGTACCTAGGTAGTAGGTAGTAAGCAGCTACCAAACAGGTAGGTACTACCGCCTGGGAAGTTATTGGAAGCATAATGTGTTGTCTAACGGTAGACCCTGCTGCCATATGGCATCCCAAAATTGTGACTTAGTCCCAGGTTGCTGACCTGACTTTCTGCCTCATTTACACACAATTGCAGGGTCTCAGTTGTTTATCTTACTAGGCAACACAACATACATAATGTATATCGTTTCTCACTCTTGAATTATTTTTCGTGACTTGTGCCCAGTTGGGCTAATCCCCGTAAAAAAAAAAAAAAAACCTGGGAACATTCAGGTCAGTCCCCAGTAGGAACGGGTGAGGTCACAGGTGACACAACAATTGATGATGGCTATAATATATTCACTCGTATACTACTTAAAGCACAAGAACAAAATATACCATGCAGAAAAATAAGGTCAAATAAGAGTGAGCCAATGTGGATGACAAAAAAAAATTAAACATGACATGGGAATAAATAAAGGAATTTCTAAGAAATTAAAAGGAAGGGAGAGCAGCTCAGAAGTAGGTATAATGAACTATCGAGGACTGTTAAGAAAAATGTAAGGAAGGCAAAGAGGGACTACGAAATCAGGATTGCAAGAGAATCCAAGGCGAATCCCAAGAGATTTTTCCAGGTATATAGGACAAAGGTCAAGGACAAATTGGGGCCTTTAAAGTCAGAGAGAGGAATAGTGATCGATGATAGTGAGGAAATAAGCAAAGCATTAAACAGCTACTTCTTATCAGTTTTCACAGAAGAAATTCACGAGGAAATTCCAGAGGTGGAACTGATATTCAGGGGAAATGAAAGAAAAAATTAAAGAATATCACTATCAGGAAAGAGGATGTTCTTAAGAAGATAAATAAATTAAAGAAGAAAAAAATCCAGGGCCGGATGAAATATCCCCTCGAGTTCTGAAAGAGTGGAAGGAACAATATCAGGCAGGAGGTCGTGTTCCTGAAGGGCTAGGATGAGTGACCCTCGCCACTGTCTTCTAGATGGAGGTCGGCCTCGGACAGCAGGAGTCAAGTTGGTTTGGACATAGTTGCCCCGAGGATCCCGTAGAATGGAAACGGTAGTTTTTAGGTAGAACTCCTGGACACGATCCTGTAAGGGGAAAGACCAAGTTCGGTATATAGAAATAGAGCGTGTCCACTGAGGCCCAAGGATGATACGAGCAGCTTGTCTCTGGATAACTACGAGACGGTTGACAGCAGTCCGACTGATGTTGACGAGGTGCAGGGGTGGCGTAGTCGACACAGGAATGGACAAAGGACTTGTACATGGTGAGAAGTACGGGATGATGGCAAGGGAACCCCTACATGGTAGAGAGGGCGAGACGCCGAAAGCATATGTCTCAAAGATAGCGGACTTCAGGGATCTGACAACGTGTGCGAGTTACATACACACCCAGGTATTTTGTTTCATTAACCCAGTCCAAGGGCGTTCCTGATAAGAGAAGGGGTGGAGGTACAACACGACCGTGCCACATGGCTTTTGTTTTCGCAGTTGAAAGAAGGAAACCAAGTGAATCACATTCTCTGGAGACCAGATCAAGGGCTTCATGCATTCTGAGGTAGTCAGGGGCTTGGAGGACATCGTCGGCATATCCTGAGTGAACAACTTCTGTCGGCCACGGGAGAGATGCAATGGAGTGCATGGGAGTGTTAAACAAGGTGGAACTCAGGACTCCACCTTGAGGGGTGCTGAGGTTCATTTCTTGAACAGGAGATATAGAGCCTTCAACGCGAACCCAGGTCTGACGTCCACGTAAAATCAATTAAATTCAATTGTGTCGCTATTCTCCATATTTTCCGCCTGGTATAATATGGGGTTCAAAATGCTCACTGGAGGGAGATCTAAATGTTTCAGTAGTTATTAACATCGGGCGCTCTATGTCCGAAAGTAAAATAATACCTTACACAGCTAATTGTGGTGGACCTCAAGAGTCGATTTTACATAATAGTAGACAGACAGACAGTAAAGAAATGCTCAAGACCACAGCTCAAACGTATCCACAACTTCACACACAAATACAAGTTCAGAGTAACAAATTCTCTGCTGATGGAAATATAGCATATTCAGCAAAACGGACTTACTTCAGTGAAACTGAAATTAAATCTTTATTGAGCCAGAAAAATGATAACGGCGTGGTTGAACGTTTCGAGTGCCGACATACTCGTAATGCGTCGTCCATTTTATTTTTATATTGGAATTATCACGTAACATGGTGTAACATCCGGACTTCAACAACTTGTTTGAGTTATTAATACATGTTTAAGTATCAACATACAACTTTTTCTTGACATTTAATAAATGTTATCATAACATTCTTTTCTTGACATTTATTCTTTTTATTTAAAGGACTGAACTTTTTGTGTACTGTATAAGAAGTTGATGGATCTGTGAACATTACTCAATAGCACTGTCACGTAAGTTATGTTGAAGATGAATTTGAAAAAATCAGGATTATGTCATTACGGTAAAAGTTTAATCACTCGTTAGGGTTATTGTGGCAACGAATCTTTACCGCTGCTTATTTCTAGACTACTGATTGATTGATTGATTGATACGTTTATTGAGATACAAAAAAACATTAATACATCTCAAAGGGATGAAGTGACATAAGTCATCCTCACCCCAGTCCAGGAATGTCCCTCTCAGGACTCACATAAATCCCTAATATTTCATATAATTAGTTATAATACATAGCTATATTCTAGATGCAAAATTTCTATATTTCTTTAATATTTCATCTATTTTCCTATTTTTAAACATCCACTCTATTTGCATGGGGACATTATTTATATGGGCATTTCTATATACATTAAGCAATGGGCATTCCAGTATATAATGTGGCAGGGTATGGGATCTGGGTGTTCTGCAAACTCTACATTCTTTATCCTGTTCACTTCTCTCAGCTCCAAGTTCCCAATAATATTTGTATCCTAATCTTAACCTCATATACACTGAATCTTTCCACCTACTCCTATCTTCCCCATATGTAAATTTTGTGTTCATGAGAACATGATGGTAATGTTTCATTGTTTCACTTTTCTCGTATATTTCATTCCTTTTGAAATTATCTTCTATTGATTGTATTTTCCGTAATTTGCTCCTTAATTGCTTCATGGTTTTAGTACATATTATGTCGATCTCGCCTTTTCCGTGGCTCTTTTTGCTATTATATCTACTGCTTCATTAAGACCAATCCCCACATGTGAAGGGACCCATACAAATTGAACATTATGGCCATTTTTCCTTATTGTATTTACTAATTTTCTACATGAACCAATAATGTGTCCAAAGACTGGACTCCCACTGTTCAAAGAATCCAAAGCTGCCCTACTATCAACAAAAAAATATGCATCTTTATACCTCTTTACAACATTTTCCAATCCTACTAACATTGCATATAACTCAGCTTGTGTTGATGAAATAAAACTGCTCAACCGAAGTCCAATTTTGATGTCATTATTTCCTTGTTCTGTGTACTGTCTTATAAGGATCCCACACCCTGCCCTGCCACTTGACATAACTGAACCGTCACAATATACATGCAATGTGTTTATTTTAGGCAAATTACTAATCTTATTCCCATATAAAGCCCTTAACTGTCCTGGTTCATGTAATGATTTCTTCATTGTGAGAGGCACTATATCTAACTCTACTTCTCGTTCTTCCCAGGGTGTCTAGACTACTGTAAGTGATAAATATTCTAATATTAAGATAATAATTGTCTTTTGATATATTTAATTGAATGGAATGCAGATATATTATAGAGCCTTAAGATGGGAATATTCTCTCAGTTCATAGTTTTATATCAAGCGCTTGGTTTTGTTGTCAGATTCAATAGTGTTCTTGGTAACGATAGGGATATTTTTATACATGGTATGTCAACACTGATAATGTAATAATTGAAGTGATAAGTATAATGTGGGTGGAGAGGTTTTATATCGATTTTTCTCATTCAGGGGGGAAACTAATGTGGGTCGAGTGTATTTTTTTTTTTTTACAATAGGTGAATGTACCGAATGTCTTGTCTCTTTTGGTTTTATTGGGAATTTTACAAGGTATGAAAATGTATATAAATATGTTTTACTTAGTTGTAAGGGGTAAATATTTAACCGAGACAGTGAAGGTGGTGAAGAAGATGCAGCAATTCACATCTGGTGAGTAAGAGGTCTGGTACTGGTTAAATACGGGAAACTCTGGGTCACTGAGATAGGTCAAAGGATAAGAGAAACATTAGGCAAGTGGGGAGTAATGACCTCACACACAGACACAACCAACTCGCTTTATCATTACTGGTGGTAGGATGCAGCTGGTGTGTGAGCTTATACTCTGTGGCGCGAGTTGGTTGTACAGGTTGAGTACGTGTCGACCGTCGCTTCCTCCCAGCCATGAAGATTAGAGATGAGTTACTGTTGCTACTGCAGTACTCGTCAAAGTGGAGGGTGAGGCGAGACTATACTATGGGGTGAGGCGGGAAGGTAGTTGTTATACTATTACTGCACTTCAACAACGAAGGTCTTTAACCGCGTAACAAGTTTAGAAATATATTAGTCGATGACTTACTTTTTTTTCTCCACGAGCTGGGGAAGGTGAGGATTGTTACCTTATTCGGTAAAGGTGTAGACAATGGCTACCACCAGAAGGAGTTTGTTGATTTGGTTGAAAAATTTTCTATACACTAATATCATGGAAACGACAATCCATAGAACCTGACCAAACATATCCATAGACTTGGTATATTAGGTCAGGTTTTATTAAGTTTTATGCATTATTAAACACAGAATAGACACTAATATCATGACGTTAAATACAAAAAATGGAAATGACAATGCATAGAACCTAATAGAACCTGAACTATCATACCCCATAGAACCTAACTCTATATACCCAGGGTTTGTGGGTGAGGTTCTATGCAAAAATTGTAAATACATTTTTTTTAATATAATGCTAATCACATGATATTAAACACAGAAATGTAAATCTTAAACAACTGACTTTAATATTTGAAACGACACCGATTAATTATACTGCGTCTGTGGACATAATCGTAGGATCGCGTATTGCATTGAAATTTGTTGTTTTTTCGTAATATGTAAGTCCCTTCCTTATTTCGAACGTTTGCAAGTGTTCTTAATTAACCCATGGTCACAAATGAAAGATATCAAGCGAGATTCATCAAGAACTAGGTTTGATAAATCACGATATGTTTGCAACTCGCAATTATGTTCTAAAGACGCAGTTTCACGTGACGTAACCACCCCCCCCCCCCTCCTCGTATAATGTGAGAAGAGACAGTTAATAGAGAATTGTGACAATAGTTAACGGTATTCAAAACAATTAAAAAGTATAAATGTGTGAAGAGACAGTTAATAGAGAATTGTGACAATCGTTAACGGTATTCAAAACAATTAAAAAAGAATGGTATCAGTCTACAATATCCTGTAAAAGTACAAATATGATACACTTACATAATTTATTGGTTCTATATATCGATGATATTATAAAAAGAAGGCTGAATGCATTTAATAACTAAACAAAAGAAAAATAGCTGTGAAGAAATGCCCCTCCCCCTCCTCAAGAGTTACAGCTGATTGACTGTTACAAACCTGTTCGATTTTTGTCCCTTCATTATTTCAGACGTAAGTACGTAGGAAGTTTATCAGAAATATTATACATGAATTAACTGATAAACTCGGGTAGCAACTTCACGTTTCGGAGGATGCAATCTTATCGCATAACCCATTTATTTTTAAAATCCATAGTACGTTCACACCATGTAAACTTGTTGCTCGGGAGAAGGCAGGCAGGCTTCCCCGGCCCTGGCCAGTATATAAGAGAACCCGTGGCATTGTGGTTCTGCTCTTGACCGCGGCTTAAGGCGGACTGCACCACACATTGAATACCTCGCCACACACTATATTATAGACTTCTTCAGTGAGTACACCGTATGTTAGTGTGTATGTGTGTTGTGTCAAGTGTTCCTAATGAGTGTGTTGTGTCAAGTGTTCCTGATGTGTGTGTTGTGTCAAGTGTTCCTGATGTGTGTTGTGTAAAGTGTTCATATGCATCCACAAAGGTGCACGCTCATTCCCCCCCCCTGGAAAATTATAAATGTTCTTTTCCCGCAGTCCTTGTTCTCATTATGTATAATATAACAAGTTTTTTAAGTGAACTGTTTGTTCTTTAACGACTTTTATAGAGTTTAAAGGTGTTACCGTAGTATTAAAGAAAACATCCGAGTATCACTTTAATTAAATGGCGATAAATTTTCACTAATGCACCGGGCTTTGTTTGGATGTTGGAAATATGTTTGTTTTTTTCATATGTTATTTGATGAGTTTGACGGGTGGTCACTGGTCAGACGTAAACAACATGTGGCGACACTTGTGACTGACCTAATCTAATAATATTGAAAAATTAATATCTCGGTTATCCTTAATTTTCGGCGGAAATATCACAGATGAAAAATGTCTTAGAATTGTCTAAACATTACGAAAAATATATTAATAAAAGCGAGAAAAATAACGGTGTAAGAACGAAAATTCACCTTTATTGTTGTTATTAGCCATTTAGGTCGGGGGTGGTGGTGGAGTCACCGGCCCCCAGACGGCAGCGGACAAACGACGATCAGGAGTTGTCGCCACCTCCACCCCTCAACGCCCACCGCCGCACCCGAAGCCACCCCCGACGTCACAACAGCACCCATGCCACCCCCGACATCACAACAGCACCCATGCCACCCCCGACGTCACAACAGCACCCATGCCACCCCCGACGTCACAACAGCACCCATAAGACCGTCATGATTTCCACAATACTGAGGAACTGTGTGTACCTGGTGTTAGGTCATGATGAAATCACGACTGTTTGTCATCAAATCTTACTACGTATGCATTATTTTACTGTTAGTTTAATTAGCAATTTTCTGAAACACTTTGCCTATTGCAATGGTAACTTAACTTTTTTATTTCAACTTAACTAACCTAACTTAGAATATGTATTCACATTGTCTCCTCCCATTGTAAATTATTATTTTCATCTGGCTAATGGCTGCTGAGATTCAAGGGCACGAAGTGTAAGTGGATGCACCTGGGGCATACCAACGGTAAGGAGGCGTATCATAAGTCCCAACGGGATGAAGAAACTGCACTATTTGAGACTGAATGTGAGAAGGACTTAGGTGTGTATGTTGACAAAGAGCTGAAGTTCTCGGGCCATTGCGAGAAGAAGGTAAATCAGGCAAATAAATTATTAAGTCTTATAAGAAGGTCATTCAGATATCTAAATGGTCTGTCCCTTGTAGCGATCTTCAAGAGTGAAGTGCTTCCCCTTCTGGAGTACTGTCACCCCATGTGGTTCCCGATATATACTAGGGACTGTCAGTTGATTGAAAATATTCAAAGGAGGGCCACCAGACTGGTGCCTGCACTTTGGCATCTCAACTACCCTGAGAGATTGGAGCACCTGAACTTGCCTAGCTTATACTACAGACGGGTGTCCTTACTTGGAGCTAGTGGATGCTCGCCCCACAAGAGGTCACAGCTCATGGTTGAAGAAGCCGCAGGTCCAGAAAACTGTGAGGGCAAACTTTTTCGGAGTGAGAGTTGTGAACTTTTGGAACAATCTTCCCGAAAGTGTTGTGACAGCACCGAGTGTGAGCTCTTTCAAGACCAGACTTGATGAACACTGAAGTAGGCTCAAGTACATTCAGGAGCCGGTGCATGCCCAGTACTTGCCAACAGTTGCGTAACAGAGACGTGACCGATCGCCCAAGCGGCTAATGAGCAGATCAGTGGTGAAGAGGATAAAAGCAAGTTAAAGTAAACGATTACACTCAGCTGAGGAAACTCCGTCTATACTGTAAAAATGTTTTTCAGCGTTATCTCTCCCAACTGATGTACACTTTCCCTTCTCACTCCCAGTACCCTGCCTCCTCCTTCAACACACCCCTCTGCTCTCCCTCCTGGTCACTAGTGAATGCTTAGAATGCACACTTCCAGAGTTCAGAGTTCAGGGTTCAGGTTCATACCTCAGGGAAAGAGAGCATTGGCAACGCTCACTAGAAGTCACAGCTAACTTTCTAGGGGTAAGACGCTTGAACTCTTGGAGTAACCTGCCAGAGAATGTAATGACAGCACAGGAAAACAGATTTTTTTTTCACCAAGAACAGAACCATGTTTTGATAAATGTTTGTTTCATCATCTCCAGCATCACCATAAAAGGAAGCCAGTTTCTATTGCCAAATCTCATGGAGTCACTATTTTGTGATTTCAGATTATTTTCTTTTTAATGATATATCGTTAGTAACCATATATTGTCAGAGTTGTTAGCAAGGACAAATCTAGCTTGTGGATACTAATCTCTATTACCTATCACTTTGAGATGGGTATTGCCCAAAGAATAATTTCCTGGTGTGATGATTTTTAATAAATATTTCCCTCCTCTACCAGTTACTGTGTTAAACCTTCCTGTCACAGTGATGAAACCCTGGGAAACTGAATTTCACAATGATGCTTTTGTTGCAGAGATAATGAATGTTGAGAAAAACAGTGGTCCTCGTGAGATGCTTGGTGATCCTCAAGTATCCATTCAGGAGAATGGGAAGGTCTTCAATGATGCTGTCCATGGGCCCATCTCTCTCCATCCCCTATGTGTTAAAATCATTGACACTCCTCAGTTCCAGCGGCTCAGGTAGTGTGTATGTGTGTTTGAGGGGTGTATGCAGGCACTGTACTTGAATGTAAGTATGAATATACATTTCATAGCTACTTATGAAATTAATTAAAGTTTTTAGCATATATTCAAACTTACATGTATAAATGATATGATATGTTAGTTTATACAGTTCTGCCAGTGAAGTAAATTATAGATGAAATATTGAAATCTCATTTTATAGGTGATATGAGATACTTCAATCATCTATCTATAGCACATTGTTCAGGTATAGACTCTCACATCGGGGACCCTTAGGAAGACCAATCTTGTTTTGAGGATTTTCTAGTTTCGTTGGTCTTGAGTTGGATTAAATTTTCTTCCCTGTTGTCATCCCTCTGTTACCTTATGCTCACCAGTAGACTGTGTTGAGTTTACTTCCACATGCTTTCACATGCATACTTGCCTTAGCATATCAATGATACATTTTAAGTTTTATAACACACAACCTACTAGGACATATCTCAATTTATAACATATTACTATTGGAAATTTATGGCCAGTTAACATACAATATATCCAGTTATTGTTCAGGTTTTCAGGATTGTGTCTTGTACAGTCATGTAAAAAAAGTTCTGCCAGTCCTCCAATCCATCCATGAACCCTAAGACTCGTGAACCTGTGAATTTGAGACATCACACATTGTACCAGCTATGAACTCAACAATGTGTGAAGTCTCGAATTCACAGATTCATGGGTGGGACCGAGGACTAGCCACGCTTTTTTCCCTAACTATATGTTAATAGGATGCTGCCCGTACAACATTTGTCTCTTAACACTGGAGGTCCTGTTCTTTTGTAGACAATACAGTACTATAAAATGTGTATATTTTATCCCTAGAGCCAGTTGATATTTGATAGTGTCAAGTGTTATTTTATGATATTTTTCTAAAACAAAAAAAAAATTTATTGGAAACCTTTATTTTGCATGTTGTAAGTTATTATTACATCTGCTACATCAGTCTTCTTTAAAATTTGTCTGTACTGTGTTTTCCCAAAATCCATTGTAATATACAGTACTGTACTGTACATGATGCTTGAAATTATTTTTTTATATAAAAAAAAACAGATAATATTGCATAACTTTTCTTAATTTTTTGCTGTGTTAATTTATGAAAGGATGAGCCAACTGACAGGCCCTCTCTTTAAACCTCTCTTGGCATGTTTGGTATGTAACTTTGTTAAAGGCTTGTTTCAGCTTGTCTAAATCTTTATGCACAGTAAACCACCATTATTGCGGATTATTTAGGGGGAGGAAAATAAGTCTAAACTAGATGATATAGTTGTTTTGAACAAGTATATATCCATCTTCTATCAGACATGAAGAACAAATACACTGACTCAGGATATGGTTGACATACAAATATATAAAGCTTAAATGAGTTAGCTTGGTTACACCCCCTCAAGGCCAGGGTGTAATGATTGAAGCCACTGCTACAGTATCTCACTTTACTTGCAAGGCTTATACTATACAATATTCTAATGCACTTACATTGGCCTTGGACCAACCCCACCTCTGTATACACTGTGGTGATGGTGAAATAAGGAAGCACACAAAATATAAAGAAAGAACTAATGCCACAGTGCCTGGCCTCTAGGTCTTGGTGTTTGCAGAATGTAAGGATAAAAGTAAAAGTACATTCAGGAGCTGGTGCATGCCCAGTACTTGCCAACAGTGCGTAACAGAGACGTGACCGATCGCCCAAGCGGCTAACGAGCCGATCAGTGGTGAAGAGGATAAAAGTAATTCTTTTGTTGTTCTTATTTATATTGTTTATATACAGCACAGTACTTAAAAGTGTGCATGTGTGGCTCATATACATACATACTGTACATATTACAATATTGCTCTTCAGATTCCTGAAACAATTGGGTTCTGGTTACTTCGTTTATCCAGCCGCAGCTCACAATCGATTTGAACACTGCCTTGGGTAAGTGATAAACAGGTTTGGGGTCCCAGAGGCAATTTTATTAACAATATCCTCATACAAAATTATGTGGGTGTCCAAAACAGCCTGGCTTTTATATAAACAATAGAAAGCTTTTGAGGGGCTTCCTGTTGCCTAAGTGCATAAAATTGCTTGTCCAACTCATTCCTTGATGTCTACTAGTATATGTTTTTTCCTTAACATTAACTGTACGTATTGTCTATGTCTTTAATAGTAACACCTGCTTCCTCAGCTATGTTGGAATTGGTACAGACATTTCCTCTGCATCAAAACTTTGCCAATACTCCTTCAGCAGAAATGCATCTTTGAACTTAATATTAACGGCATGATTGCTTATTATTTTTTTATCCATTTTTTTTATCCCCAATTTCATTTTTTATAAGTATTCATTCATGTACCTGCTGAGGTAAGTGCTCCAGCTTCAGTGAGATTGTTTCCTCATTCAAGATGGTTGGAACTTGTTACTTTGTCTTTCCTGCTGCAACACACAATTGCTTTGAGCATAACCTTGGGTAAGAAGCTCAAGTGTTGTCTTGCTTTTTAAATTCAAATGTAAAATCCATAAATAAACCCTTTAAGTTTACATTTCAGAAGAAGCCAAATACTGTATCAGTTGATATTAAGGTAAGAGAACAAGTACTGTACTGTATTAAGAACAGATAGTTTTTATACTGATGAGAACACAGACTCACTGTAACAAAAACTAACACCACTCAGATACTACCCCATCTTACCAAGAACAGACTCGATAAACTCAATCTTTAACTATTTATGTGTTTAAAAATTTTAGTGTGTGTGTGTGAGAGAGATAAGAAGGGCTACAAGGACTTAAAGTTAATTAAAATCAAAACCCCCTTATAATTTTTTTTTTAACCAATGGCTTATGCTCATCCTGGTTTTTTATTTTTTATTTTTATATACGCTATTTTGTATTTACTTAAGTTGCTAAACAGTAAATTTCAATTCTGAAAGAAAAGGTGTTTGCTGCCTTAAAATCTTATAAGGCTAACCCTTTCAGCTTGATATCACCGTTTTGGGTTCAAAATACCGTATCAATATACTATATGTACTCCTGAACATACTGATTAAGGATCTGTTGTTCATAATTTTTAATATCTGTATAATTACTTGACCAAATGTCATCTCCAAAAATTGTATTACTTTTATAACACGAATTACTCGCCACATATGGTTGTTCATTATTTCCACTCAGTGACAAGTCTGGAACCGAAATTGTTATTTCCTGAATTTAATTTTAATTAATTATTTGTAAACTGGAGTAACCACAGCTCAACCAAGGCTGTTAGTTAATTTGTGAATATTTGGGAATTTACTTGTACTACTGATTTTATGCTTGACATATTCTTTTTCCCAAGGGTTTGTTATTTGGCTGGCGAGTTCATTGGTGCCATTAAGACCCGCCAGCCTGAATTAAACATCGAAGACAAGGATGTTTTGTGTGTTAAGATAGCTGGTCTGTGTCACGACCTGGGTCACGGCCCATTCAGTCACCTCTGGGAAAAATTTATTGAAAAAGTTCATGAAAAGGAGAAGTGGAAGGTAAGTGTCCATGCAAGTTGATGGTCCGTAATGAGGAGTTAGTTTTAGAGGATAATAATAATCATTAAGGTATTTTTATGATATAAGGGCCTGTGTGTGCCTCTTACAACAATTTCTTTACTCTAATACTTATAACCATTGGTAGCGTGATGAGAGGAGGCTCGTGGGTATATGGAATGATAGTATCAAGTAATGGGGAAGAAATAACGGTAGATACTGTAGGTAAATAATAGACACAATATACAAATACAAAATTTATTTAAACATTAATATGGAGGTAGGAGACAGAATATATGTACCAACAGATGAAATCTGGTGCTATGCCCTCAGGCTCAACATACTCACACCACTACTGGGTGGACATACTCAATAACACACACTCTTACAGTAACTTAGCACCATTAAGACCAGGGGCAACTGCCACTACAACACTCAGTCGTCAGGAGTGATACTCAAGCACCCGCCATGGGGTCCTGCCACCATGGGGTACTTTCCAACGAACTCTGAAGATCCCAGTGGAATAACCCCACCACACAAATAGCCCTACTGAGTTAGACACTCATCCACCAATGATGGGGGTTGGTAGTGGTGTGTGGCTTGGTGATCCGGGGTCACCTCGCGGGCCAAGCGTTAGGGTCAGACGAGCCAGCTATGGGGGCCATAGGTAGTCTGAAGTGTCTGACGGTCGGGTCTCACGAAGGTAACTGATCCTACTGGACCTCGGACATCTCCCCAGACATAGTGGATACCACATCCACGCTACAGACACAGCCTAGGCTGCGTTAGGGACCTGTATGGGTGAAGGGGCGAGCACTTACTAACAGTGACAACGACATCACATTTCAGGGGACGTTAAAGACGTAAGTATGACTTCACTCAGAGCATATCAACTACGGTACTGTAACACTTGCACAATCAACTATTAATTGGGTCAAATCACTTAAGGAAGGGCGAATTACAACACAGAATGGAATGGCCTACCTGTATGGGTGAAGGGGCGAGCACTTACTAACCGTTGAAATGCCCGCGGCACTCTCACTCAGAATAGGTCAGGAAGTCCACCTACTTCTATTTCGATGAATTAATTTACTGTACACTCAAACGTTGAAACTGAGACTATGAACTTAGTTTCATTCCCTACTATTATCTTCACTAACAATGCTCTGACTGAGCTATCAAAAGCAAAATTAAATTGATTACAAAGGGTTGGATGGCAACAGGTCCCAACATACAGCGTCTTGCTACGAAATCCGCGGATTATATTCAAAGTTCCCTTTAGACAAAGACGGCCTATCGATGACGTCATCAAGGAAACAGAGAAAACGGGGGATGTTTCCACTGGGGGACTCGGAAGGTTTTGTGGACGTTTGAGCATAATATGAATCCTTAAGGTTTTTAGGTTGGCCGTCATCACGATCATGACAATGACATTTCAACAGAAAATATTGCAATACTAATTTGTATCAGAGTAAAATATTTGTGTGTTGGAATATTCGATCCCCAAAGCTCCCCAATAGGTTTTTTTTTTTCCAAATAAATTCTGGGGAAAATCTCTATTCCAGGCATAGGGACAAATTTCCAAGGATTGCACCATGCACATTTTCAGAAAATTCTGAGAAAATCTCCCTGTTCCAGGCATGGAAATAAATTTTTGAGAGATTACACTGGGATGCATGCTGGGAGCACAGGTGTATAGGCTCAGAGTGCTCGTGAGTTATGGCTGGCCAACTACTCCTCAAAGTCTTGCATTATGACACTCTTAGTTCATTGTCTGCTACCATTATACAAGTTTGTTCGCTCGCTTACTGCTGTTTTTGCAGTACTATAAATTAATGTATTGTACTTGCATATAATCAGCTAAGAATGCTGTTAAAGCAGTGTTATGATGTAAAAAGTGATTACAGTTATGTATACAGTATTGTACTCCACATTATATGTACAGTACTGTACATAGCAGAGTGGACAGTTTATGCTTGTGTGTAGAGGACGTATGTACAGTATACAGTGCATGTACAATCCCTCCTTCATGGAGGTAGAGGAGAATGGCAGTTTCCAATTCCATCTACAGGAGATGGTACAGGACAAGACAGTCCATCCTCTCTCATCATATCATTTGGCCTGCCTGCATCACAAACTCAAGATGACAGCATCTGCTGGTGAGTACAGTAGTATACTGTATTTTGTTTATTTACAATATATTGTATGTGTACTGTGGTGTTTGCATTAATAAGTACAGCACTGTGTCTGTTTGTGCAGGATGCATAGTTTAGACCCTCTGAAAACTTTCAACAGCACAGTACTGTACTCTACTTGTCCCCCAAAATTCCCGGGATGTGCGAATTTTTCTGGAGATAAGAAAAATTGTTTCTATGTCCGAAAATCTCTCATTTCCGGGATCGCTCTGCACCAGTTTTTCAGGCCAAAGGTGATATCACTGTACTTTCTCTGTTGTTTCCCTGCTCCACCATCCTCTAGTTGGGGTAACTTGAGTATCAGTTAGGTATTGTCACGTGTAACAAGTTGTCTATACATGTTGAGCCATTGTGAATTTGTATGACATTTTTACTAAATGAATATCAATCACTCTAACGACCATGTTCAGGTTGAACACTAAATGGTTTTAAATTTTTTTGCAGCATGAGGATGCTTCTGTAAAAATGTTTGATTATTTATTGGAAACCAATAATCTTGATGATGAATTTAAGAAATATAAATTAGAAGATACGGATAAGACGTTTATCAAGGAACTCATTGCTGGTGCAGGGACGTCTAAAGATGGAACATGGTGCAATAAGGGTCGAGGAGTGGAGAAAGCTTTTTTGTATGAGGTAAGAGAGACATGATTTTATATAATCATTTATGCCACATAAGTATTTACTGAGAAGAAAGTAGCTGTAGAAAGAGTATTGAAAAGTAATTTATGCATGTTGGGTTTTAGAGCTGAGTTGATATATCTTGGATACTTTGTAAATTAGGTGCATAATGTTATCTCTCTCTGTCTATACTTATACATTATACACCAAAACTTCTTCACAGAAAAACCTCAGTTTATGACTAGAGATGCCTTTGTGTAGGTGAAAAGGGAAACTCTGCTATGGCATTTTCTATATACTGTATATATATTACTGTATATACAGTGCAGTGCTAGGAAGTTGCTGTGTGGTGAGGAGCTTGTTATGCGGAAGTCTTGTCTGTTTGAGAGTGCTGAGTAGAATCCTTTTCACGGCGAGGCTGTGAGCTTATATACACGTCCACCGGAATTAAGCGTCGCTGGTGGCTGACCCCGCGCAGTCAAACACTAAGCTTGTCAGTGAAAATTGACGCGGGATAGGCTGATCAGTGACTAACGGCAGTGGCAGTTGTAGGGGAGAGTATGCACTACACCTTTATTAAAGCAATCCTCTTACACACACACACACTTCCTCCTTACCGCTAAACATATTCTCAAATTATTATTTTTACCATTTTCATGTACATTGTACTCGTCTTTCTTTCCAGGGCCAATCCTCCTTCCTCTTGATAGTACAGGGTACTTTGAAAATCCTTCTTTTGCTTGCACAGTATACATTAATTATTTGTTTATCCTCTTCGCCATTGGTCAGCTCTCTAGCTCATCAGGCATGCTGTTGACAAGCACACAGCATACACAGGTTTTTGGATGCACCTGAACATTTGCCAGTGTTAGTTAAGTCTCGTCTTAAATGAGCTCACACCCAGTGCCATCACAACATTTTCTGGCTGGTTATTCCAGTAGTACACAACTCTTACTGCAAAAAAGTTAGCTCTGACAATTTTCTGTTCCTTTATCAACTTCTCAAACCAAGGTGTCCTCCTCGTGTTGGTTGTTGTTGCTGCTTCACATGGTTGTGATCTTAATGGAGCCTGAAGGGCCTTTGTTAGCTGGTCACCCTGAGATCTTTTTGTGAAAATAATGTCAAAATTATCTGCATTGAGTGTATGGAGTAACTAGCAGAGTTATAGTGTTTGAAGCAGGATTGCCTTAAGCTCAGGTGGATATTTGGTGCACTTGATATTGTGTTGATGTTGAGAACATTCCAGAAAGTTGGTGTCAGTAGCATTATCTGGTAAGGTGTACAGTACTTTCTTTTCTATGATGAAGGTTTCTAACATGTGTATATATGGTAGCAGTGTGTTAAGTATTCTGTTTGGTTGTAGTTTTGTAGATGAGTTTATTGAAAAGTGTAGGAGGTATATTTTTTATTATGTAGGAATTATGTTGTCAGATGACATATCATCGTACGATATGTTTTCCCATGTGTGGAAGCGAGAGTTTGTCTGTGGCAGCGCCGGGTTGCGAGTTACTGTCTGATGCTGCAGGAGTAAAGTCTCCAAAGAACCTGGTCTATTATTCAAACCTCTCACAGATGTGCTGCTGTGTTTTTTTTCTGTCTGTTAATCTGAAATTTCAGAAATAAGTTTGGTGTTGTGTTGAGGCTGTGAGCTCTGTGGCCCTTGTATCAAGGTGGTCTTTTATGAGAAGAATTACTCGGTAATTAATAATAAACTTAATAATAATGTGTGTGTATTTTTCGTAGGTTGTGGCCAACAAGCGGACTGGTGTGGACGTAGATAAGTGGGACTATTTTCTGCGTGATACTCATAACCTTGGCATCTCAGTAAGTTCCTTACCACATTGTTTTTCTTATCTCAATCATCACACAACCACCATGATAGATAATGTACGTATCCTAATGCTGCTTTATCACTGTAAAGGTGCAACCAATACTGTTTACTATAAATTACAGGTTCTCCATTTATTAAAAAGTTTCTGACTGAAATACAAAAAGCAGAACTAACATATTGTAAACTCGGTGGTGAAACCGTTACCTCAACAAGAAGTGACAAGTTACATTGTGGTGCTGTGAGATATTTAAGTAGATGTTCAATACAGTATACTGTTGTGGTGTACAAACCATCAAGCAGAATTTTAGTACATTTTCTCATTACTTTATATCTAAACCACCAGAAAATATCCTAACTGTCCCTAACTGGCAGTCATGCCTGTGAGATCCATTTCTTTCACATAGAACCGGTTTCCTTTTTCCAACAAACTTTAAGAAATGTTTTACACTTCCCTTTAAATTTCTAAGTTCATTCAACAGTTCACCATTTATATACACTTTCCATAGTTGCCACTTCACTTCACTATCATACTCTTTTTCAAGAGACACAGGTGTTATAAACAAATTCTTACCCTTCTCCCAAACCTTTTGCCTCATCTTCTCTAATAACAACATTTGATCCTTTTCTTGAACCCATACTGTTCCTTGCCTAATGCTTTACTATATATATGGGGAACTCTGAACCATAATCTGCTAATTGCCAAAATAGAAAATGGAGGAAAATGTTCAGCTAGGAATGTGTGACATACAATAGTCTTTTCAGAGGACTATCACCCGCACGTACAGTACATGTTACCAATTGGCTCTGACTTACCAAATGGACAGAGAGGCTGGGGAATACAATGCAATACATAACACGTTTCAGCGATATATGGCTCTTAGCATGTTATGGTCCACAGCTCCTCATATATACTGTACTTATAATTATGACATAAATCTCTTGGTTTTGCTACAGGTCACATTTGACTACTCTCGCCTCGTGAAACTCTCTCGTGTGAATCGCTTAAAAAATGAGGAGCAGCATATATGTTTACGTGATAAGGCCATTGACAATCTGTACGAAATGTTCCACGCTAGACGTACACTTCACAACTCAGCCTATCAGCATCGTGTTGTCCAGACCATTGATTCTATGTAAGAAATTGTTTAATAACAAATGATGCATATGTGGAGAACTGAATATATAATTTTTTTTGTGAAACTTCATCTCTAGTTGACAGTTAATTATATATTTTACAGGTTAATGGATGCCTTCATGAGTGCAGATAAGCATATTAAGTATCGTGGGAAAAACAAGTAAGTTTAAAAAAAAATTGATAATTGACAGTACTATAGTATTAACCTTTTCACTATGGAGATGCCACTTTTGATATTTTATTTGTCTATCACCTGATGATTTTATTCAGCTCAGAGGGGAACCTATACAGAGGAGTTATTGATTTAAATAATGGAAAAGTGTAAGTTCTTTCTTTCACCATTGCAAGCATTTTCTGCTATGTTACAGAGGAGTGGTTAGGTAGCTGCTACTCCTTTGATTATAGCATTCAGCAGCATTTATTTTCTTGGGGTCAAGTTAACATTAAGTCTTCTGAAGTTTGCTGATACTGTACATCGAAGAGCATGAAGTACTCCAACAATATGAAAATATAAAAGAGAAGAAGATATTTAGAATAAAGTGAATTTAAGATATTTAACAAGATTTATGAAAAGTAGATTTGGCCACCATGTTCCCTAATTATAGTTTCATAATATAATAAAAAAGCCTCTTGAGGTAATGAACTCTTAGTTCAATTTAATACATGCCATGGTGAGTGGGGTCCACTTGTAGCCACTATTACCACGAGCTTAATTTCCTATGTTATAAATGAGTGAGTAAAAGAAATAATAACTGAAATTAAATTTATGGGGAACAAAAATTAGGTGAATTTTGACTAATACCAAATACAATTCAATCATTCAAATGAGAAATTTAGTTGAAAGTAACCCATGTTTTTAATACATCCTTGTTATCGTATTTTGTGGCATATAAGGCGCACAGCCATAACAGGGAGTAATTAGGATTACCTACGTATTTATTTTTTCCTCCTGCAGCCATAGTTTTCTTTTAATAATATATACAATACAGGTTGTACCTCTCTAGTCTGGCAACCTCGGGACCTGACCGGTGCTGGACCATGGAAATTGCCGGACCATGGAAATTCACCCTTTTCCTGGATAGATAGTGACTTGTGCTTATGCTTGGAAGCACTAGCACCACTTACTCTGCATCATGGTCTCTTTGAAGACATATTGGAGGGTTAAATGTCGTATAGTAGCTTCTCAAATTTCGCAAGTTTTTAATTCTTAACGTATTTTATTGGAACACACAAAAAAATAAATAAAAAAAAAATTTGACGGCGGAAACTTGAATTTCGACGGGTTTGAACGGCCTGACGAAGTGCATAATCGTGTAAACAGCGTCATTTCTCTTATGTACAAAAGATTCATTATTGTTTATTACTGAATGTCTTTTTTATTGAATTAATGTTTATGTGTGCAAAATGAGCAATACAATTCATTAATAATACGTAGAATATTAAAACACACGAGGAAATGACACAGCATTGTTTTCGTTGATTACAAAGCCAGTGACTGACTGGTTCTACTTCTAAAACTGAAGAAAATAAGACCTTGGTTGTAGCTGTAGTAAAATTAATATGGTTGTTTTAAGTACGGTAATGTTATTTAATGTTAATAAATGGAACAATAGAAGTAGCTAACGATAATGGTAAAGAAAAAAAGAGAGATCGCGTATGTAAGTGCGCATGCGCACACGTGAAAACATATCGTCATTACTTTACATAAGAATATGAAAGCAACACTTATTTACTGTTCATATATATTTTAATTAATGTTTCTGAATTTGTTTTTATTGAATTAATGTGTGTGCAAAATTAACAATACAATTTATTAATAATACGTGGAATATTAGAGGAGACGAGACGGCTGCCGGCATTGTTTATGTTAAAGCTTACGAAACCAGTGACTGATTGGTTCTACATATAAAACTGAAGAAAATAAGACCCTGATTTTAGCTGTAGTAAAATTAATGTAAAAAAATTAATATGGTTGTTTGAAGTACCTGTAATGTTATTTAATGTTAATAAATGGAACAATATAAGTAGCTAACCATTAATGGTAAAAAAAAAAGTGAGACTGCGCGTATGTAAGTGCGCACATGTGAAAACATATCGTCATTACTCTACATAAGAATATGAAAGCAACACTTATTTACTGCTCATATATATTGAAGGGTTAAATGTTGTACTCTGTATAGACAAGCAGAGAGAGAGAGAGCAGCCGAACTGCCGGATGCTTAATGATTAGCCCACCCGGGCATAGGTCACTGACCCACATTGGGGCCTGAGGGGCAAAAATTTAATACTCCTGTAATAATAATAATAATTCAGATAAGTAAAAAAAAAAAAAAAAAAAGCTGCCTATTGGACAAACTAAAATCGTTCCGGACCACAGGAGTTTCCGGACCACAGAATGCTGGACTAGAGAGGAATAAATAAAAATAATACCAATAAATAAGTTACAACAAAAAATACTCAACATACAGGCAATTAAAACATCTAATAATTACTTAATATGTAATATTAGGACACGTCGCTACCAAATCTAATCTAGAAGTCGCATTCTGGATTGAACAAAAATACTGTATGGCCAATCCAGTAAATAAAAACCAAATTAAATTTCAACACAATCGCCATTTGCATGTACTTCCTAGTTCACCATAGCAACGCAGACACTACCACCTCTGATTCCCTAGCAACGCTCTTCCCCCACACATCTCTCCTCCTCCCGCTCCCCCAATGAGCTAACTGGGGGGACAATTATTTCTTTCACTTTTTTCACAGTATGTATGTCGGATGGTGTCTGCATCTAATTGAGTAAAAATAAATGAAGAAAGTTACATATATCTACCCGAGAATACGAGAAGAAAAACAACCATAACACCAGAAGTCTGGTGGTTATAGCGACGAGTCTAACCTGGCTAAAATGCTGTAAATGTGAAAACGTGATATGTAAATCTTAATTTGTATCAGATATTTGGAGATTTAAAAATAAATGTTACAGGTATGGCATTGTAAGAGATCAGAAATGGTTACTGCTTAGCTACCTTTGAAGAGTTGGGTGTCTGCTGTAGGGACGTTAATCGACTCGGGTTATCATCATCAGTACAGTAGTTATAAATCGGGCTTTTATATTTTCAATATTTTTTTTTATTAATTAAATATTATAATACTTATGTGTTTTAGTAAGCAGTAACATATTTTTAATTCTGGATTTGGGTTAGGTTGAAATTAGCCTACTGGAGACAGCAACTGGGGGGATTCATTAGGTTACGGGAGAGCTCAACTTCACATTAGGTCGCAGGCTGATTTTTCAAGCCATTTTTTCAGAGAGAAAAGTGCGCCTTATATGCTGTAAAATACAGTAACTTATGACAGGTACCTGCATCTTCAACGTGCATACACAGAATACGTACAAGTGAAACCTTTGATATCATGTTGTTTCATAATCCTTTCATGCTTAAATGGGCATCCAAGTTACTTTATGCTGAGTTCTTGTCCTCTAGTGAATAAATTAAGTACTGTAGTCATAAAGGATTTTATCACAATAAAATAAATTAATCAATGTCTTACTTGACATATCATTGTAATATGTGTAAGGCTTAAGACTTTTGACTCATTACTTGATAGATTGTTAACTAGATATGCTATTACATTTGTGTTTTCCTTATGTTATTACTCTGATTCTGTATTCAGCTCCTTTAATTGCATCATATATATATATATGTATATATATATATATATATATATATATATATATATATATATATATATATATATATATATATATATATATATATATATATATATATATATATATATATATATATATATATATATACACACAGTACAGTCAACCCTCACTTTACGCGGTTAATGTAACCCACAGGGTACCGCGGAAAGTGAGAAACGCGTAAAGTGAATAACATAACATATGGGATTAAATGAAATAGGGACCAGCTGACCCCCAAACTCCACTTTTTCCAACACAATACCTATGTTCTAGTAAAAATAACATCTTAATTTTATGATGGTACATGCACACAATTAATACTTAAGAGAAATAGAGAAATACAGTCGCCAAGTTAATGTCCATTCAAATAATGGACACGACTCCCTCCCCCTCTTCTCACACTACACTGCTGGCTCTTCCCTCTGAGAAATTTTGGGGGGAAAACCAGGTATAGTAATAAATAATACCTCAAACTAAAGTTAGGATAATATAATTGACATTGCTGGATTCCTTGTAAGACCAGGAATATTTTGAATATAAATGTCATATATTTTTCACAAAAGATAACATATTTACTCAGAGCAATCATTACATCTAAAATTTGTATGTCTAATGCAAAATCTATGATGTTTATTTTCAAAATGATCATCAAATTGTAAGAATTCCAGCAATGTAACTTATATTCTGGCCGGATAATTTGTATGAATTTTATGAGCTAAATAAAAAAATTATACTTCACCCGCGTAAAGGGGTACACGCACCGCGGAATGTGAGCATCCTGGGTTCTGGCAGGGCACCGCGTAAACGTGGAAACGCGGAATGTGGGACCGCGTAAAGTGAGGGTTGACTGTATATATATACTGTATACTATATTTTTTTTCAGGGAAATGTTTGCCTTATCGGAGGTGCATCATGACATGTGTGCCTACACCAACCTAACTGACGATGTCTTTCATCGGATCATCTTAGCTGAAGAGGATGACCCACAACTGAAGGATGCACAAAACATCCTCAGAAACATCCTCACCAGGAAACTGTATGTTTATGTTGGCCAAACACAACCCAAAGAAGCAGGATCCTCCAATAAAATTGTGAGTTATTTATACAGTATTTATCGATCTTAGTGTTTTTGAGGGTGAAAGTTCAATTAATGGTCTTCTATTATATTTCATGAGCAAAGTTTGAAATGATAGACTTCACACGGTTCCTGTCTGGGCCTTCAGCTAGCTTCCAAACTACAAAATTAAAGAATAACTGAACAAAATCATGATTACTGTATAAATATGTTAAAGTAGTTTATAGTTGCATCTAAACCTATGAGTAAGTTGCCCTGTATTATGGAAGCTGCCCAACTTTGGGTTTTGCCAGAAATATGGGATTTTAAAATAAATCCTGCATTTATCAGGAGAACAAGTGATAGTAACATGTTCCACATACGTCATCAGGGTTTTTGAGTTGTATTTTTTATGATTTATTTGTTAATATGTAAAATTTATATACGTACAGTACAGATATGTATTTTATTTTACAGACTAAAGCTGATCTGCTTACGGATCTGCAGGAAAATATTCCTGAAAATAGTACATTAAAGAAAGATGATTTCGATGTTTTAGAAGTCAAACTTGACTTTGGTATGGGCGATACGAACCCAATAGAACATGTCCATTTCTACAACAAGATGTCACCCGAGGATGTAAAAGCTATGCGGGACGATGTTTCTGTGTTGCTTCCCAAGAGGTATGACTTTTCAAGATATATATATGTGTGTGCGTGCGTGTGTGCGTGCGTGTGTGCGTGACCTAGTTGTATCCATGTTAACAGGGAAACTTTAGTAGATGAGAGAAGGGTATAGCTATCCTGCTTCAACAAGGAGACATGACAACTATAAACATAAAAAAAACAGAGGAAATAATAATTCAGTAAGGAGTAGGGGCGAATATATGTACTAATAAGAATGGAAAGGCATTAGGTATGGATGAAATTACAGGACAGTAGTAATGTTAAGGGAGGCAGGTTACAAAATACCAAAGGAATTGTTCCAAGAGTATTTATTGCACAGTCACAAACAAAGGTCCTCTCGCCTCTTCTCCTGAACCACAAACCCTGAGATTCAGACTCCAACGCATTTGTGAAGGTCCAGAAAAGGAATAGGATGTGAAGATAAAGTTTATGGTGTATGGACTCTGAGTTAAATGTATCAGAAAAAAAATAATCTTTTGTTTGTGGCATTTATGGATTTGGAAGTAGTCAGAATATAACAGATGTTTTTCTTTGGTTTTTCCTTCATGGATAAGTTGCTGGGGAGGATTGTGTGTTTAATGGTAACAGAGCAGCTGTTGCAGGATGCACACAATTCATTAGATAAAGTAGTAATTCAAGTGTCAAAACTTTTATGCATTTTGTTGACATCAAATGTTTGAAATTATTATTGTTTTCAAACTGCTTCTTGTTATTGCCAAATGTGTAACAGAAATATACAATATATTTAAAGCTCTTAAAATATCTTAAATAAATAATAGTTATTAATATTTGTATATACTATTTAAAATTCACATTTGGGTTTATGTGTATATGAAAATCTCTCTTCTTTTTTTCAGTATTCATGAAGTTATATTTCGTGTCTTGATCAAGAGCTACAGCGAAGAACACCTTAAAGAAGCCCACGGTATTTTCAAGGCTGTATGTGAGAAGCTCAAAATGAAGGAACCTTCTGTAAGTATTGTACCTACATGGTGGATATAGTAGGTATGCTTTAGATAATCTCCATCTTTTCAAAACACTAAAAATATTATTGACTCTGTGCCACCAGTCAAGGGCAGATTATATAAGTTGAACATTTTAATATCTACATTATTGGGAAAATTTCCATAAGAAATAGTTATGTAAATATGGATAATAGCTCAAGGTGACCTAAATAAGTAATGATTGTAAGAGATATTAGCGAGGGACTAAAAGAGTGAGTGGAATTGGTAATATTGTTCCGTTGATAGTTTTCTGTCTTCTGTAACCTCACTTCCAAGCCTGTATAACATAATCTATATACTGTATCTGTGTCCTCGTTTGTGTGAAGTATCTATCTGCTGTTAATTCTCGTTAAACTGTATATAACACACAGTAGCAGACACAAGTTCACTTGTGGTGAAACGGAGTCACAGGAATGAGACTGAACTTGCTTACCCCGACTGTCATCTAGTGCGGGTGTGCTGTTTTATTTAATTTCGGGGTCAATAGTGCATCAGTTTTGGAGGGAGTCAACACAGACTGGATTATTTACACAAGAATACTGTGTAGTACACCATACATGCCTCATTTTTTATGAACCAATGATATAACTTATGCTGAGATAGTTGCAATATTCCTAGTGTGTGTGTTTGATAGATATGAATGTACAGTCAACCCTCACTTTATGCGGTCCCACATTCCGCGTTTCCACGTTTACGCGGTGCCCTGCCGGAACCCAGGATGCTCACATTCCGCGGTGCGTGTACCCCTTTACGCGGAGAGCGGCTGGCGAGCCGCGCCATTTTTGGATCCAAACCTCCCGCCATCCGCCATGTTGTGTAAGCGGCGCGAACATGGTGCGCACAAGGTCGCCCAGTCATCAAAACATTACCAGTTCTTCACCCGCCACCCACCACAGCCGGCCCAAGTCAGTGATAGTGATAATTATGGTGAGGATATGGACTTTGGGGGGTTTGACAAAGAGGCCCTGCAAGCCTCTGTGGTGGATAGTGATACAATTGATACAAGTGATACAGGTGAGGGCCAATAATCTGCCCTCTGCCTCGGAACCAACCGCCCATCCCCGTGTGCCCAGCCATTTTTTCTACTAATGTAAGTGTTAAAAAACCTAATATTATTGATATTTCTCTTAATTATTAATTGTGTGTGCATACCATCATAAAGTTAAGATAATATTTTTACTACAACATTGTTGTGTGTTGTCAAAAAGTGGAGTTTGGGGGTCGGCCTGGTCTCTATTTCAATTAATCCCATATGTTATGTTATTCACTTTACGCGTTTCTCACTTTCCTCGGTACCCTGTGGGTTAAATTAACCGCGTAAAGTGAGGGTTGACTGTATAATTTTTTTGTTTGTGTGATGAATATGAATTAATAACTAAAGAATAAAGTAATCACACACCTCTATCTTCTTGTAGGTTGACTCATGGTCCAGACTTCTTACCTCTGCCAATTTGACCAACTTGGAATCAGTGGATCAATAAAGTGACAGTTCTGCAACACAGCATACAGGGTATTTCTTTTCAATAAGGAGACCAACTTGAAACTTAGCAGTACTGTATTAAACTACCCTGTACCTTGTTTATTAAAAAAGTATGTACTGTAAAGGTATAAGAATGTTCATACAGTACACACATTTCTGTAGCTTGATATGTTCTTAAAATATTGTTTCTAGAATATTTTCAAATATCACAGTGTAAGGAATATTTTTTTAGTAAGATTATACCAAAGAAATTATAGTCATTATAATTTTAAATTCTTGTTTTTAAAATATTCTATGCTTGTACTTAATTATACAGTACATTAGAATTGATTTAGAAATACTTATGGGACTTAACATGTAAATAAATGTAGGGTCTTCTAATAGTACATTTTCGTCTGTTTTATTTGGTAAACATATACAGTAGTCATAATTTCTTGATTAAGTTTTCTATACTGGGGTGAAAATGATTTTTAAATTTATTGAAGATGATTTTTTGGAGAATGTGCCCCTTGGGAAAATCTTTCCCAAAGCTGGAATTTTCCGGAAAATTTCAATTCCGGCTATCAGAGAGTTCCGAGTTTGAGGAATTCTGCTAACGGAGATTCCCTGTATTATTATAATATGTTTATTTTTTTCTACTTAATTAGTAAATAAATCATATATCTTGAGGTACATTGTTCCTTCTTTACCAGGATCTAGTCTAGGCAAACTCTGTAGCCAGGTTCCCTTTAACCCAAACTTAATCCACACCAAAGAATACTGTCATCTTTTGTCGGGTTAGTCATGTGAGGTCAAGGCAGTTATTGACATTGTTGACCCTTGGATTACCAAGTGTCACCACCAGACTTGATTATGCCCTTTAAATCCAATGTTACTGTGGCCTTCACTTTTGCACACAATTTTGCTCACTATTTTTTGGGTGTTAGAGTATTTGTATGTTTATATAAATGAATATGTTTGCATGTAAAAGTATTTGTGGTTATATTTATGCATATAGAAGACATCAGCCTATGCCAACATTTCCTTGCCTGGCTCTGCGTTGTGTGAATATCTCGTCAGCTCTACTGGACTGATATTCACGCCTAAGTGTATCACAGTAAGTAATAAGAATTTTGGAATTCAATTGTTACTCAAAATCATTTCAAAATTTTGTTTATCAATGATGCAAATAAATGTAGCTTTTTGATCTGTTGTTTGTTTATTTCATTACTATACCTTCTGCATGTTTGTTTATAGACCAGGATGCTTTCTTCAGGAGTTTGGTCAGAGAGGGATTTGCTTGTGATGCAAGATATTTTCAAAGTGCCAATCTTTTTATCAATCTTTATATCAATTTATTTTGAAGTAAGTTTCAACAGGAGTAGATTAGGTGCATCAGATTAATCTCTTATTTATTTCCCCCAGATGTTGAACATAATAGTAAGGTTGAAGCATTTTGAGGTACCTATACATTAGTGATCTTCTTTCGACCAAGCAAGGTGGGGTTTTTTTGCAGCATAATCGGAATCCTGTTCAACCTCTCCCTCCAATACTGTGTCAGAGAGTGGGTGGGTAGGTGGTCTCAACCTGTTTCCCCAGTTTTGCATGTTACATATATGGATTTTCTAAGTATTCTGGGTACCTAGTTTTGGATGGCTAGTTATTCATTGTTGGAGGGATTTCGAGTATTGGCTCCTGACTTTAAATTGTTGCTGTAGTCCATATCACCCAATACTGTATGTTGTTTGGGTTTTCCAGTACGTGGTATACTCATTTCACAAGGCTATCTCTCTAGGAATCATTTTGAATCACTGGGTAACCATTTTGTACAGGAGGTTTTGATCCTAAAACCGTTTCAATAACGGAACTAATATAGTGTATACTGCATTCTACCTGTCCCCCTGGGATGTTCTTATAGGTTGACTGGAGTGATGGAGTTTCAAAAGTAATACGTACAGTAATCTGTATGTCAACTATGAAATACAAGTTTCCCAAATGTGACAGGATAATTTATATACTGTACTACACCAAAAGTATATACACTGGTGTAATGATTGTTTATCAGACCATAGCTTACATCCCACAGAAGAACAGCACATATAACAGCAAGTAGTTGCCCATGTGGTAACCCACATAGGTTGACATACCCTACAGTGAGAGTAAGACCTGACTCAAGAGAGATCAGTCACATTGACCTAGAGTTCTCACTGCCACGCGATTAGCTTAACCCTGCGACATGACCATGTTAAAGAAACCACACTTAGCCAAGACACACCCGGGTGGTAATAATAGGAAGCATTACCGACTGGTGACATGACCACGCACCTGGACAAACACAGCTGTCCAGATCTAACCAGTTAAGCGTTAATTAGGAGAGGTCATCTGCCTGCTCTCCTCCAATGTAAAGGCCTCATGGGCATTGCATTACTTTCACATCACTGAAAACAGAAGACAGAGTCACGCTTTTCACTAGTAGAGGTCGGGAAGGAGACTTACCTCCCCAGTACCGCGTCTCCAGCTAGCAGAGTCTCCCATAGGAGACATAGTCCAGCAGCACCCGCTGGGCCTCCCTCAGGTTACACGTAAGTCATTGTCAGAGCTATCCATAGGGTGAGTTACTTACGGTGGGAAGTGTAAAAATTCATGTTTGTGTCCGAGAGTCGGTGTCTCGTAACGTAAATACAATGTGCTATTAATGTGTCTGTGTCATTGAGTGAATAATAAATAGCTGTACTTAGAATTGGTGGTTTAGAAGATTCCCCCTACGAATATAACATACAGTACAGCTAAATAACTAACCGGCCACGCTATCAACCTTCCTCCTCACTTTACAATCCTACAACTAAATATTCTATCTATACGTTCTACCAAAATCCCCCCCCCCCCATTACACTGGTATGTATTGTACAGTATTATATGTATATGTATTGTACTACCAACAGCAAACAGAGAGCATAAGAATGAGGTTTTTTAGATGGAAGCCCAATTTATTGGTAATATAATAATAAAGTGGTATTAGCTAATGGTAAAATAAGTATGACCTTACATTAGTTTATCACTACTGGTAGGTGTTACAGGGTCCTTGATATGCCAGTGTAATATCAGGGTTGTTGCAAGTAATAATTTCCAGACAGCCAGAGTTTGAGTAGGTCTTGCCATCAGTGCCACACACTGGGTTATACTCTTGTGTACACACATCTGGACAGTTGACAAGGTTATCTGAGGGTTGGATTCAAGAGTTAGTACATTACTACCCTTACAGTTACACACTGCAGATTACTCAAAATGTTAAATTGCAATGCTGCAAAAATTTAAATTTTTTTGTAAATGCTGAATGCAAAAAGATGCAAATTTCATTCTTTCATAAGTTCCATTCAGTAACTATACATTCTCTTCTGTACCTGAATTCACAATATTTAATTAAGCTTATGATTGTACTGTTTTATGTGGTTTCTCAAATAGAAGACCTATCTGACGGAAGGAGCGAGGGAAACTATGACTAAAACTCATTTATGAAACAGACCTCAAGAACCAATGAAACCCGAACAAATAAATCAGAACTACCTGAGGATTGTTAGATCATAGGTCTGGTGAAATTTGTTTTTGGAGGTCAATAACATAAATGATTTTCTGACTAGTTATGTTCCTGTCTCTCCAGGATTTTTTCAGTAAAAAAATATAGCAAGAAAGAGCTTGTTAAAAAACAAAAGAGGACTATAACTAAATATTTAACAAAAGAGGATCAAAAACAGTGGTATCAGTACAGTATGTGGATTCATTACATGGAAGTTGTTTCAGGTGGGGGATTCCTGATCCAAGAGGCAAACAGGAATGACAGTATTTGACCTGAAGGCTTCCTGCACCCCCCAGAACAAGGTGACCAATACTACTGTTATTGTTATTATGCAAAATTAGATAAGTTTTATAATTCATACATTTCACTTTAACTAAAGAAAATTAAATAATGATTCTACCATGACTGTATTCCTGTAAGTTATATCCTACCATGACTGTATTCCTGTAAGTAATATCCTACCATGACCGTATTCCTGTAAGTAATATCCTACCATGACTGTATTCCTGTAAGTAATATCCTAACAACGTTTTCGTTTTTAGGTGTGAGTGGTATGGATGTCAGGCAAACATACTGAACTTTTTCAAGGTCAGTGCGAGTTAAGAGTTCTTCATGGGACAGTAACTCACCACACCCTAAGTTAGTTTTGTTCATTCAATTTGTTAATTATCATTGTTGTGCAACTAAATCTGAAATAATGTGTGTGTCCAGTATTTTTCCATATTTAAGGGAGTTGCACTCCTATCCTTAAGACTGGTGCCTTTGCTTAGTGTATTGTGTTAAATCTATAGATAAATGGAAGTCCATTTATACAGACACCCACTACATGGGTCTTTGAACCTTTCTGCCTTTAAGTTAACTTAGTTTCCTCCTTCCTAAGGTCTTGTATTATCACTGATGAATGATCTGCTATTATTGCAGCAAACAGTAAGGGTAAATGTGGAATATAGAAATACAATATAACAGGTTTAGTATACAGTGTCAATGTCTTCTGCCCCAACAACCACTTATTGACACACATGTTTAGTAGTCCTGTTCTCTCTCAGTCATACATTTACAGTACACATAACTAAAATCTGTAACAGTAATAGTTCTGTCACAGAGAAGTTTTTGGTGTAAAACATGTTTGTCTGAAGAGGACAGACTTGTTTACCACTACAGTACAGAACAGTAATCTCCTGGATCAAACTGTGAAAATTCTGTAAACTCGGAACCTCAAGCTCAGTTACTATTCTTTTAGGTCATAGGGTTCATGACAAAGTACAGTAGACATGTGAAACTCACTGCACATCCCATCGTTCTTCTTGTATATGTTAGGATTTTGGCATATGGTTGCATTCAGTGCACAATCATTTCCATAAGTCATGCCGTCACTCCCACACACAGGGTTGTACACGAAGGAACAGGGAAAGTTACAGTCAGTGGGATTCATTGTGCCTGCAATGATGAACAAAGTTTCTGATTATCAAAGAAAGGTTAAACAATGTACACCTTAGAGACATGCCTATTGCAATAAGATTAAAGAGTACTACATACATGAATTATTATTATTGGATTACTGTATTTTAACCAATACTGTAATGCAATAATATTATGAGGTCCCCCAAACAGCATTTTATTTTACTTAATCACTTACAATATTTGCTCGACACCTCCTTCAGGCTGCTCTGCTCCAAACATTTGCAATAGTTTTTTGAGACTCGTTCAAACCTTCTTTTATTTCATTTTATTACATTCTATTTGCTACTTGTCAGCTTCCTGTTGGCAAGTGCTATACTGGACATACACGATTTCTTGAATATAAGTGACCCAATGTTGGTAAATTTCAAACTTAAAGGAGTTCACACTTGGTGTTGTCTCAATGTTCATGTTTAGTTTATTCAGATAGTTCACAACTCCTAAGTGATTTGTGCTGTCAGTGGCCTTTGAGGTGCGTATACTGTACTTCTATTAAATCACCCATTAAATGATCTTTTCTCTCTTGATAAGTGAGGTGTTTGAGTGCTGGTAACAGGTTTGGTAGCACAACTTTGGACGTTCTCAATCGGTTAACAAACTTTACTTATATTCATTGTCAACTTTAACACGTGTCTTCTCACAATTAGGTTCATATGGGGAAATTTTATTTTGTTCATTAGGATATGTGATATACAGTACTGTACTATTATTATGACAAAGGTGCATGCTTTTGCATTTTGTAATGTTGAACCTCATTAATCATTCCTTTAACCTTATTTCAAGTTAATACCTGTAGTAGTCATCACTTTAGGCTTCACAGATTAAATTAAAGATTAAATTTCTCTGATTAACTTCATGTTATTGGGAAACATTGAGCAAATCGTTCATTAAACAGACAGTCAACTCTGGTTCCAGCTCACTGCATGTCATAAGTACACCTGCCACCTTTGGTTCATAAATAAAGTAACTCGGCCATGATATAATATTTTTATGAATTCTGTGTACTTTTATCTTCAATTTAATTTTCAGACCTTCATGAAATACACGGTTAAATACCCCAGCAAAGTCTAATTATACATTATTAACCTGACTACCACATTATAGGATCTGTGCATACATCCAGTATCTGTAAGCTGCGTCAAGCACCTAACATTAGGCCTGTAATTATTTGTGCAAAAGCAGTTGAACTTTTTTATTATAAGACTCACATATGCTATTTTCCAGTCATTAAGGACTTTTCTTCATACAGTACTGTAATTAATTTTGCAGAACCAGCTAATAAAGATTCTGAGAGCTATTTTACACAACTTTCTTAACACATTATCAGTAGTATTCACACTAGACATTGCTGTACACATTTCTTTTAATAACTCTTGGAACAACCTGTCATAGAGTGTTGTGATGGCACCAAATGTGAGATGTTTCAAGACCAGACTTGACCAACACTGGAGTGAGTTCAGATACATTCAGGAGCCGGTGCTTGCCCAGTACTTGCCAACAGTGTGTAACAGAGATGTGACTGATCGCCCAAGTGGCTAACAAGCCAATCAGTGGTGAAGAGGATAAAAGTATAAGTAAAAGTAAGTACTATACACATATATTGCAGACCTCCGTGGTACTGTACTAACATAAACACTGCACATATGTTCCACATCATCCCATCAGTTCCCAACAATACAGTGACTATGTTGACAACAGAATTGTAAAAGAGCAATGGAAGAGAGGTCTTTGGGAAGAGTTTATGTGATTGAAGAAAAGGATAGAGTTGTCTAAAACTACTCTGTGATACCTGGTGATCATCAAAATATTTTTAAATGATACTTAATTTTCCTATAAGGAGAGACACCTTGCTCCTCTTCACTGTCTACAATGTAAACAATTTGGATTCATTGGTAGGAATACTTTTGTGCATCATATATAGTTGTACCTGAGAATAAAATGATTATAGGTATTCACATGGGGATCATTAACTGTATAGTATGTAAATGTAAAAAACTCAATGCATTGTCCATTATTGAGCTTGTATAAGGAAGGGTTCTGGCACCTGGCTGCATCCAGCTGACAATCATTGCCATAAGTCTGGCCATCACTGCCACACACAGGGGCATAGTTCAGGGGACAAGCAGTAGAACATGATGAATCTCCTGTCATAATAATTTGTTATTATTATTACACTATTTTGATGTTTAATTTCTCATAGCACTTACTCTTTTGAAAGTTAATAACAAATAAGTAGATTATGGCATCAAGATCATATCAGGCTTATTACCCCTATAGCACAGTTCATCATTGACGTCACACAGTTGTGGGCGGAGCTTCTGGGAGACTATGGTGGTGCAGAGAACAAACAACTCGCTGTTTACCTGTTGCCCTCAATAATACAGTAAATTCAAATACTGTAACCATAGCTACAATTATTATCTTCCTCATTAAAAGATGTAAAAACAAAATCGACTAAAATATAACAGCTGTCAGTATATGAACTATATACAGTATTTCATTGCTGCGTTACTTTTTTTTACTTTTACTCTCTTCGCCACTGATCGGCTTGTTAGCCGCTTGGGCGATTGGTCACGTCTCTTTTCATTTATCTTCTTCACCAAAAGATCGGCTCGCTAGCCGCCCGGACGATCGGTCACGTCTCTGTCACAATGTTGGCAAATACTGGGCATGCACCGGCTCCTGAATGTACCTGAACCCGCTCCAGTGTTGGTCAAGTCTTGTCTTGAAAGAGCTCACACTCGGTGCCGTCACAACACTCTCTGGTAGATTGTTCCAAGAGTTTACAACCCTCACTCCGAAAAAGTTTGCCCTCATGGTTTTCTGGACTTGCGGCTTCTTCAATCTTGAGCTGTGACCCCTTGTGGGGCGAGCGTCCGCCAGCTCCAAGTAAGGACACTCAACTGAGTAGTGCCCCCTGAGATGCTTATACACCTCAACTAGGTCCCCCCTTGCCCGTCTGTAGTTGTTACCACGTCATCTCGAATCTATTTTTAGTAACATCGGTGAATGACAAACTGTTCTAGACAGTACCAATGAGTGATATAGAAATACAGTATGCAACTTACCACAATTCCCATCACTGTGTTTTGATAAGGAGGGGTTTCTGCATATAGCAATATTGAGTTCACATTGGTTGCTGTAAGTTTGGCCATCACTACCGCACACTGGGTCATAATTGGCTGGGCAGATAGTTGGACAATCATCAGTTGGATTCGTCCCTCCTGTCATGATGAGCTTAATTACTTCTTTGACAAAACCATCTTATTAATGTAAAATTGTATAAGTAAGTAATCCATACCAATTAAATGCCTCTGGAAAGGTGCTGGTGACATAGTGTAGCCTGGTTGTCAAATATTATACCGTGTATAGTGTTTGTATACATCTTGGATTAATATCTGTACCACTGAGTTAATTTCATTTCCCTAGAAGACTAAGAGCTCCATTATCATTTATTGACTGTAGAACCAGTGTGTCCAATATATGGTTCAGTCTCGTACTAATTGAATTATAAAATGAACTACAAAACTAAAAGTTTTCCTTTTACACAGAAGGTACAGTACATGGTATTAGTGAGTAGTTTTTATTACAGAAAATATTTATTACAAGTATACAGTTCAGAACTGTACAAACCAGTTTTGTTCTTGCTCAATACAGTAATACTTGTACTATACAGTACAGTAAAAGTCCAAAAATCTGGATGCCAGAAATCCGGACCACCTGAGAATCCGGACTTTTCGAAAACTCAAACTTTTTTTTTTTAGCTGGCTTTTGTGTGTATGTGCGCATGTGTAAGCACCACAGCTGCACAGCAACAACAAGCGACCACGTGGTCGCCACTTTAAAACGAGCAATCAAAGTGTGACAACGTATGTAATTTTGAGTCCTACTGTTTCCATTTACAGAGCACTGTACAAGCCCATAATAATGGCTCTTAAAGTAGATAAACTTCGGTGTGTGAAGAGAAAGAAGAAGACGTTGAAATTGAGTGACAAACTTGAAATAATTAAGAAACTAGAATGTGGTGTGAGCAATACTGTTCTAATGGAAACATATGACATTGGAAAGTCTACAATTTATGATATAAAAAAGGCAAAGAATAAAATTCTAGAATTCACAGCTTTTTCTTTAAAACTGCTCGTTTTGATAAATGAAGCATGCTATATTTGCTAATGAATAAACTATCAAAATGTACCTGTTCATCTCTTCTTTATTCCTCCTTAAATTTGAGTTTTAAAAGTACTGCCTGAGAATCCGGAAAATCCGAAAATCCAGACCAACCCAATCCCCAAGCAGTCCGGATTTTTGGACTTCTACTGTACATTTAAAATATCTGACAGATGAGTTTACTGTACTGTATTAATTTCTTCATATTTTTCTTTAAAAAAGAGGAATACTGTGTGTGATGGAAGTGAAAAACTGTATGTTTTGCATCACGTCAGAAACAATGGAGGATAAAACGAGCCACTGTCTGCTTTTCTTGTCAATGTGGTACCTTAGAATTTAAAAGTTAATAACTACTTGCTATGAATCGCACTAGATGGCATCACAAAAATCATTAACACAAGAAATTATGTCAACTGTTCTCTGGTGGTGGCATGACATGTAAACTGTTCTAGGCTACTCACTACATTCACCGTTGTGCCGTTTATAGATCGAGGGATTCTTGCATGTGGCACTTCTAAAGAAACAGCGATTAAGATAGGTCTGGCCGTCACTTGCACACACTGGTGAGTATCTGTCATAGCAGAAGGTTGGACACTTGCGTCTTCTGTCTGTATGACCACCTGTGTGATATCTACATTTCAAATTGAAATTTATGGTGCATTGCAAAGTATCTTAGAGGAAGTGAGAGCTACATGTGTGCACTGAGCCAACATTAAGAATGATATTGCCAGTAGTTATCCGTGATATAAGAGTGTAGGAACATAGGTGACCAAGTATTTTACAGGGTGCGTGCTGAATGAAATGTTAAACTGAGAAAGCTCCTTTTTATTTATTCAATGACTTCCTGTGACAGTTTGCAGATATCAACTGACGGATTTCATGTGAGAGTTCTATCATTAGATATCAACTGTCTTACACTTCCTTGAGTTTTTAAGATGGATTGGCCACATCAGGGTCTCATGGTTATATACACTACCTGTACTCTGATCTCAATGAAAATTATAAGATTTTGAATTTTATATATACAGTATATACTGTACTGTATTATAATGGGCTTTTCCGTATGGGAAATCAGGTTTTATTTTGAGGAACTGGAGAATTTTTCGTCACATCTTGTCTCTGAGCTGTCTAAGGCCACACTTATATGCAGTACAGGTATATAAAATAAATACAAGTTTTTATTTTAGGCTTGTTCAGAAGCTTTTGGTATATGTTCCATATGGTCCAGCATGCCATCACACTGACTATAAAATGAGTACGTAATTAAGTCAAACCTCAATTATTACTTGAAAACGCTCAAAATAAGAGAGAGTTCAAGGTTCTTCCCAGTAATTTTTAGAAAGCTTACTTGATCTGATTGGTATGGATAAGGAGGGAGAGACTGTGTCTTGCATCTGGTACTTGAAGCTTACTGCTTCTTCCAGGCGCCTAGAGAAACCATTTTCAGCTGTTTACCTCCTTGTTCCCAGGGGGGACTCCTGGGGATCCTGACCCCTCCCTTTTCATCAGGAAATTCCAATACTTTTTCTTTAATGCAGTATTATACTCAGGCATTTTTGTATAGTAAAAAATAATTACTATTGACCTCACAATATCTCCTAATATCAAAATGGCCTCAAAATGCCCATAATATTGATACAGCGCCCTCCCAAAACCTCCCAGCTGAGTGAGCTCGCGGTGTTCCACCACCTACAACTTCTTGGACACCCTCTTTTGCTATTCCTGGATCTGCCCCTGGGTCCATTACCATTTCCAAGGAGTTTAAGACTACCAAATTCTGTATAGTACTCCATCATCCACTCAGATTGATCCACCCCTTCATGATCAGTCTCCACCTTTTACTTACACAAGTTATTTCTTCTTCCAGATCTCTAAAACCAACCTTAGCTTCATCCCCAATATATGAGAATTTTCAGAAGAAGAGAAAGAGACCCTAGATGGTCAGGGCATGGGAGGAAGGCGAGGACAAAGTTCTACATGCAAGGCCAGCATTAAGAAATCCAAGGCCATAGGATCACAGGTAAAAATGGAATGAATTAAACACTGATTCAAGGAAAGGGGTGTAGTCAAACTAGAAAGAGGTTCTCAGTGATGTACAACTAGGATTCATCCTCTCTCTCTCTGTACATTGAAAATATAAATGAATACATAACAAGCAACAAAATTAAGTCTGCAGATGATAGAAATATTTCTAGGAAAGTAGCAATTTGAGAAGACAATGGAAAATGATTTACAGAAACTTTTCAAATGGTTGCCTGACTGGCAAATGCCTTCTAATGTAGCAGAATACAGAACTCCTTTTGTGGGGTACAATAACCGAAAGCACAACTTTGTGAATAATGCTTTCCTAGTACCTTGATTAACCAAACACTGAAAGCAAACTCAAGGGATCATGAACTAAGACTTTGAATGTGAAAATAACATAATCTTCTTTCAGCTCTACAGTTCATTGAGGGCCTTGGGAGCAAGAACTCCTCAAACATAACATGAGAAGATGAACCTTATCAAAAAAGTGAAATTTGGTCCTACAAGTAAAGCTGCCTATTAGGGAAAAAGTGATTACAGTATTGTCTCCATTTACGAGGTCAATTGAACCCGTGGAGGTCCGCGTAAAGCGAGAAACGCGTAAACGAAATAACAGAACATATGGGATTAATTGAAATAGAGACTGGGCCAACCCCCAAACTCCACTTTTTCCGACAATACATACGTTGTACTAAAAATAATATCTTAATTTTATGATGTTATGCACACACACATAATATAGAAGAGAAATATCAATAAGAGAATAATATACTGTACCAGGTAAAAGAAAAATCAAGGTTTAACACTTACGTTAGTAGAAGAGATGGGTCGGCATATGGGAATGGTGGCTGGTTCCGAGGCAGAGGGCAGATTAGTTGCCCTCCAGTGAATCACTATCGCTATTCACAGAGGTTTGCAGGGCCTCCCTGACAAACTCCTCAAAGTCCATATCGTCACTGTCACTATCACTGACTTGAGCTGGCTGTGGTTGTGGTGGGTTGTGGGCGAAGACGTTCGTAATATTACGTTGACGACTAGCATTGATGTTGTCATGATACATCTGGACATACGGCTCCATAATTTTCGACAGAAGGTTATTAGACACTTCATGCCGATGCTTGACTGTGTCTTGTTCAAGGATGAGATTGATTTTCTCCCCCAACTCGATGACTTCCTTCACATAATCATGGCTTGGTCCAGGTTCAAGGTTTTTCTGGGGTGGTGGGGGCCAGCGGAAGCCATTGTGAGGGGATTAGCGGGCACAAGAGAGAACTGTATACGCGGGGAACTGAGAACAATGAGAGTGGCCTGGCTAAGTCAGCGACTCCTTCCCTCTGGTGGCAGGGCATGTCATGTTACATTAAACCAATCACAGCTAGCGGCGGAGGGAGGTAAGGATGCTTGACCCAATCAGTCTGATACGTCATATGACGTCAGCGATAACGTAAGAGCGACCTAATGCACACCCCTCACTACGCCGCTTCCCGCGTATGGTCAAGAATGGACCGCATGAGTAAAAAATGGCGCAGTTCGTCTGGACCTCTCCAGCCGCTCGCCGCGTAAATCATAAAATTTACCGCGTAATTAAAACATTTCATTCTGGCCGCGTAAATCCAGACTATACTGTACAGTACACAAAGTGTCTACTGGTCTGGAAAACCTGGAAAAGCCAGGGAATTTTACAAATAAATCTGGAATTTTATGTGAATTCATTGCAACTTCAAAATATTTCTATTATTTGACAGCAATCTTACCATGAATTAATGATGTACTATAAAATAGGTAAATAATTTAACTTTTAGGAACTAATTCCAGTAAATAGTCCACTCCAAAAACTAAATTGATTGTGTATCTGTTATATTTTATGTTTGCAATCAAATAACCAAATATTATAGGTTATACCTACTAATTCTGCCATGAGTATTGTCAGAGATGACTCATTCTTATAATTAAGTGACTTTATTTAAGTGGATTATTCTACATATTAATCAAGAGTCATATAGGTGGATCAGGAGTATGATTTTTCGTTTTTTGCCAGATTTCCTGCTTTTTTTGGAATGTCCATGTCAACCCACGTAATTCACACAAATTTGAGGAGAAAAATGTGGAGGGGGGTCCAGGTCTTTGCCAATGTTCATCACTAGGCTTGGGGTAGGTCGCAAAAGGATCTTAAATTTCTTGATTAATACTGTATCTTTCTCTCATATATAAATTTCCCAATAGTACAGTACAGTATATACATAATATTGATAACCTCTAATTTTGTTATTCTATCATAATAAATACCGAATTAATGTACTTTCACTCAAAAAAGTATCCTAAAAATATTGTTCATGACAATATGACACATCGGACGTGTTTTGGGGAAATGGTAGAGGACCAACAAACAGAGCCCAGGCACCAGTGGTTGTATTGTTCATTTTGAAATCCATTGGACCCCACTTTTTAGATACTTTTTTGAGCTACTGTACTTGTTATTTTTCAAATTTACACCTGGAAAAGCCAGGGAATTTTGTTTTGTCTGGCCCATAGACACCCTGGTACAGTACAATGTATACTAGGCCTTCAGTATGTAAGGAGGCAACATGGCCAGCAATGCTCTTAACCATCTTCACTTGCCCAAATGTAAAGCGTGATACCAATTCATAATTACATCTGGGTGGACTGGGAGTGCCCCAGCATCAAACCAACAGCCCTAAGGACAAGGGGACAGCACAGTAACCACTTGGCCGCCATACCGTTGGACCACATGGACATTTAAAATCCAAAACAGGATAGAAAATGTAAAACCAAAACTAATTACTCAGGATAACAGGTATGACAAACACAAGTGCTAATAATTTGCCAAGTTTTGGAGAAAAAAAATAAAGAAAAACTTCATGCAGTGTATGATAGACCAACGGGAGTCTACCAACAGAAGTTGCGGAAATAAGATCAGCGCTGGGTGTTTAAAAAGCCCTGGACAGGAGTATCAAGTATTCGAGTAACTACAGTAGTGTCATTAACAGATCTTAAGTCGTGACACAATACATCTCATCCCCTACCAAGGCCACCCTTGGCCGTGAAGGCTGCAAGGCATATTAGGGAACAATAGAAATTAGACATAATGACTGTCACTTACAGCATTCTTTTGTCTATTTTAAATCTTACAAGTAGTATAGTAACACCTCAGAGCTCACATACTTAAGAACAAGTATTTCGTCATACAATTAGTCACTCATTAAGCCCCTGACATGCTTTGGTAAACCATTCCTCACATTATTCACCTCATTCCATACATATACTGTAATTAATTTTGATTCTTGCTTCACAGATTTTAAACTTTTGAAGGTAACAAATATTTCTGCCTCTTATATGGTATTACATTCATTGATCACACACACTCCACTTCTGCATACACCACTTGTCGAGTTTACCAGGGGTGACAGTTGGCACCACCCATGTATCACAGTATCAGGCTTCTGTTTCTCATTGCAGGGACACATTACTCACCCCAAATCCCATCTTTTAATTCAAGTCTTATGACATGCAAGATATACTGGGACCAATTAATATAGAGATTCATAAATTAAAGATGTACCTATGCGTCTGCGCCTTCCATTGTTCCTACACCAGCCAGGCCTACATGGAGCCAAGGTGCTCGTCTGGTCAGCATACTGTCCCTCAGCAATGCACAGCACTACCGCCACCATAACCAGAGAAAGAGTACACCCTCCCATCACCATCTTGCTCCAGTAATAAACAGATGTACCACTGTAGTAACCTGTGGGAAACACTGTGTCAACTGTAGTCAGCATGTCATCCATAGGTAATGCATTCATAAATTCAGACATTAGTGTACTTCCAGAATAAAGAACAAAACAAAAAGAAATCGCACCTCAGAAACCCATAGTTGGTGAATAATTAGCACTGAAAATTTTTCTTTTAAATTTTCCGAGCATTATTATGACTCGTTACGATCCCATACTCTTAAAAAACCTATTCACTCTTTAAACAAATTCACTCTTTAAAACACATTCACTCTTAAAACAGTCACTCTTAAAACACAATCACTCTTAAAACAATCACTTAAAACAGTCACCCTTAAAACACATTCACTCTTAAAACACAATCACTCTTAAAACAATCACTCTTAAAACACATACACTTTTAAAACACATTCACTCTTAAAACAGAGTTCACTCTTAAAACACAATCACTCTTAAAACACAGTCACTCTTAAAACACAATCGCTCTTAAAACACATTCACTTTTAAAACATTCACTCTCAAAGCACAATCACTCTTAAAACACAATCACTCTTAAAACACAGTCATAAAATAGTCACTCTTAAACCACAATCACTCTTAAAACAGAGTCACTCTTAAAACAGTCACTCTTAAACCACAACCACTCTTAAAACAGTCACTCTTAAAATACAATCACTCTTAAAATACATTCACTCTTAAACTACAATCACTCTTAAAACACAATCACTTAAAACATAGTAACTCTTAAAACACAATCGCTCTTAAAAAGCATTAACTTTTAAAACATTCACCCTTAAACACTCACTCTTAAAACTTTCTCTATCAAAACACTCTCACTAAAAAAACACATACTCTTAAAAACACATTTACTCTTAAAAGACATTCACTCTTAAAACACATTTACTCTTAAGACATTCACTCTTGAAAAACGTTAACTAAACACTCACTCCTTAAAAAGTGCACTATTAAAAGTATCTCTTACGCATTCATTCTTTAGACGCAAACACCCTTAGGACATACCCAACAGTGTATAGCTGTCCGTAACCAAAGTATATCTCTAGAAACAGCTGGACGAAGGAGTAACTGAATTAAGAGCAACTCTCACCACCGTACAGGAGCGAGACGAAGGAGTGACTGCAGGTGGAGCGACACTCACCACCACACTGGAGCTGGGCAAGTGTGTGACTAAGGTGAGGTAACCACTAGGATAGGTACGGAGTGGATGTTCATACAAATAAGGGATGTGTGCATTACCTTGGATACACACCACCTCCTTACTTCACTGAATAGTTTGATCATACTTCTCTCACCACCCCCCCCCCCTACACACACACTAGCACGAAAACCCTTGGGAGATCTGTATCCCTACGATATGGTCTGTATTTCATGGTCTTTATCCAAGGACTACGTCACACCACCTTCTTCTTGGCTTTTCTAATGGTCTCCTCATGTTATATTATTATCTTGTGTAAATACCAGAAGAAAAAAATAATTCCTTCACCGCCACATTCTCTCGTGCTTCTTGTACCACAACTGACTTTCGTGTCGTGGCTGAGAAAATAATAATAAACGGGGATGGACCCACAAATACTATATCAATGTAAATGTTGTTTTACATTGGTTGACTCAATTACAGCAGCAGACCCCAACTAACCTAATCTCTCCTTGATACTATATTTTCATGACAATTTTGCTTTGTCATATAACTCTTTGTGTTCATATTATGTTTTCTCAGAACATAAATCCTAGGTTTAGTACCATTGTGTCTGGCTACAAGTTAATGAGTGATCACTAAAGGAAAACTACATCGGTTGTCGCAATCTACTAGCTCAGCTTGGTCTTGGGAGTGTGTGGGTAAGGTAACGTGAAAATTGTGAACAAAACTAATCTTGACATAGACGCTGAGTACTGTCTATGTGTTTGCGCGCGGACACACTCTGGTGTTGGGTGGTGCAGGCACGGACACATGCACCTGATAACAAATACATCATTGTCATGAGTGTGCACTCTGTACAAAAGATATGCATTAAGGTGGACAGTGTATGCTCAGACTAGCCCTTGAGAGTGGGTCTGCATGACGAGCGTGTTCCACCAGGCGAAGGATTTCCAGCCAGTGTCACGCCTCGACTGCCTCCTATGGTGGCGAGTGGCGACGTTGTTCGGATGCTTGTGGGATTCCCGAGATTATTTCTTCGTCATTGTGACTCAGAAACTGCATGACTGAGCACATTAAGACTGCTTCAAAATACCTCCACATTAACACCATCTACTCGTGATTAACTTTGCTGTATTAACATTAGTACAGTACATAAGTTCGTGTTTTAGTTTTTATGCGGGTGATTCGATAAAAGAACATACAGGATGTATAACCAATATTTAATATTTTTATTAATAGACATCCAACTCTGCCATACATTTTATTACGGTGTTAGAAGCACCAACTCCCTCACTCACCCACCCACCTACCAACCCACCCACCCACCCACCACTCGCTCACTCACCTACCAACCCACCCACCCACTTACTCACCTACCAATCCACCCCCACCCACTCACCTACCAACCCACCCACCCACTCTCACACCTAACAACCCACTAACTCACTCAACCACCCACCTACTCACCCATCTACCAACCCACCCACTGACTCACTGACTTACCCACCCACTGACTTACCCACCCACATACCCACCTACCAACCCACCCACCCACATACCCACCTACCAACCCACCTACCAAACCACCCACTCACACCTCCCATCCCACTCACTTACCCACCCCACCCACTTACCCACCCACCTACCTACAGTACCAACCCACCCACCCACCCACCCACAGTTCAGTAGAGCCGTCTCTGGCAATCAAAGAAACGTGAAAACCATCAGCCCTTTCATTCTCGTCGACTAAACTAATTGTATATTTTCTTTATTAAGAGCACTAACTACTTGTAAAACGTCTACTGTTAAAAGTTTGAGTTAATAAACGCGGAAGGTCAGTGTTGGTAATGATGTGGATGAACGTGGATGACTTGCATTGCCGGCAACATTGTTGTCTAGCCTTGTACTCTTAAGTCGAGTCACTCCCCCGAATTATGCCTCTCTCTGTCTTATGTATTGCAACATTATCTTATTTTGTATTGCAACATTATCTTGAATGATGTTGTTATCGTCTTCACTTCTGATAATGTACTGTACATCACCCGAGTCCTCAACATAACGAGTGGCTATGTCTACACACCCAAAGAGGAGCTTCGTACACCTACGTGCTTTCACTTGCAGCTGTCTGTATTTCAGTGTACACTTTCAATGTATTTCAAATATTTTTCTGTCACTTCTAGGGGCTATATGAGATTGCTAGGGGGTATATGAGGTTGCTAGGGACTAAATGAGGTTGCTAGGGGCCATATGAGGCTTGTTTGGTTGAGCACGGCTATAGGTAGGCGAGACACCTCGACCAGGTTGGTAGCCTTGCATGGTCCAGGTTAGGTCGCCCTTGTCAGACCTGTGTCTGTTCACAGTTCCCATAAGGTAGTGTGAATATTAAATGAGGGTGTATGAAGAAAGACTGATTTTAATTCTTGCCACTCTGCAGTATAATCAAAATACTATTTTTGGTTAATAAAATATTTATTTTGTAGGTAGAAACAGCAAATACGACTCCAGGGACGATGAGAACTATACCTTAGTGTCCAGATGACGAAGCTCCATCAAGATGGACAAGAGAAACGATCAAGAGTACAGAAAAAAGAATGAATATGCTTTAATTATGCCAGTGATGGAAGGATTTACTGTGATGTGTAGGAGAGAAAGAAGGACTTGTATAGGAGTGACCATATAGACTTGTGGGTTTCTAAGGTTAAGACTGTCAAGAATTGTTTAGTTCAACTTGCATTATTTTGTACTTTAGTTTCATCTTTATTTGCAAAGCAAAATATTTTACTCTTCTTTGCACTGTAAGACAAGATGCTAGTTTAGGGATCTGTAGTCCGCAATTTGATATTTGTATAATTACTTGACCATACAACAATTCTGAGAGAGTGTTTTTAACCTAAAATCCTGTATAGGGTAAGATTTACCGTTTCATAAATATTTTTATCTAACCGATCTTCTTCTAAATCTTAGTATATTTACTCTTGAACATGCTGATTAAGAATTTAATATTATTTTCAGTCATTATTACATCTTTAAGCTTGCTTGTAACCAATGATGTGAGACTGCAAATGGAAAAAAAAACCTGTATATGTTGTACCTGTTAAAAAATAAGAATTTTCTGGGGCAGTGTGTCACTGCCAGGGGCTGTGATGCCACCAAGGATTGTGTGATGCCACCAGGGGCTGTGATGCCACCAAGGATTGTGTGATGCCACCAGGGGCTGTGATGCCACCAAGGTTTGTGTGATGGTACCAGGGGCTGTGTGAGGTCATTAGGGGCTGTGATGCTACCAAGAGCTGTGATTCCACCAGGGGGTGTGTGATGTCACCAGTGGCTCTGTGATGTCACCAGGGCTGTGATGCCACCAGGGGCTGCGTGATGTCACCAGGGACTGTGATGCCACAAGGGGCTGTGATTAAACCAGGGGGTGTGTGATGTCACCAGGGGGTGTGTGACGTCACCAGGGGTGTGTGATGTCACCAGGGACAGTGTC